GAGCTGATTTAACAAAGCTGGAATGGACATTTGAAATGGCAATCTCATCATCTACCACAGATTCCCTCCCATGCCTCTAGCAAAATTCGGTGTGACTTGTCTGGTTTCAGCTTTCAAATTCAACTTGATTCCAAAGGGCCGTGCTGTACAGAGGGGCTCGCTGCAGCTTAGGGCCTGACATAACCAACAAGTATTGGCATTCCAGACTGGGTAACAGGTGGCATCATTTGTTTCCTCAAAATTAGAGCTCTTCCAGTGTGCAATGGCTTTTAACACTCAGCCTTTCAGATCCACGCATCACTTGAGACTCTGCCAGCCTTTCACCAGGAGATATGAAAATAGGCTTCACCACCAGTGCTAATGGAGCTTAAGCAAATGCAAAAAGCTTCAGCCCATCTCCCGCACCAGAAAAGCTGCTAGGATATCAAATGCAAGCATGCAGAGCATACTGAAAGGTGACAATAGGCACACATGCAAAGAAAGTTATTCTTAAAAAAAAAATCTAAATGTACTCCTGTTATCTCCACTTGTGTGAAGCTGGTGATGGATACTCAGCAAAATCAGAGTCTGACAGCAATTACAAACTCCTCTAACAAGACCTGAGGTTCTTAGGTGATTTCTAATGTAGTGGGAGGGCTCAGGGAACACGGAACACAAATCCAATGGAAACCAGGCTTCACAAAACAGCTTTTAATTAGGACGTTCTAATTAGATGATGAAGAGACACACAATCATCCACAATTAATTCTACTCTTGATATGGCTTAGGGAACATCACAGCTAAGTCAGAAAAGACAGAGGCAGTTTAACACTTTAACTTTCAAACCTTAATCTTCAAAGAGGCAATGGAAAAACATTCCTTACTTTATACTTGTTCACTGAAGTGTCTCCTGCTACTGAAAACCAAAAAACTCATCTTGCATAATACCTGCATTTTAAACAATCCAGTCTTTATGACCATAATTAGATTCATTACATCTGCTGCAAAACTAGGCAATTAGTAGCTCTAATAAACTAGCCATTAACTTCTACTTAGAAACAACTGACTTTAATAGCAGCATATTTAATAGTTTAAAGGAATCACCACATTTGTCAATTAGCACTATCAATTTTTAATTAAATTATCTTTCCACAAGAGAAAAACAAAAAAAACCAGATGTTTCATTAAGTTTATATGGAGCAGAGAATTCTTCTGACTGAAACGCAATTTTTAAGGGCTCTATTGGCTAAACCAACATTTTGAGGTGTAAATGTTGATACACAAGCTAAAGACAGAAAGAAGTTGCACAGATCTTCAGACAAAGGTCTTCTCTAAGGAGGTTTTTGTGGTCTTGCTAATCAGAAAAATAAGATTTCATGAGAAAAAAAAGCAGACATTGTTGAAAAACTACAGAGGACTTTCAGAACACATCTATGAATCACAGAGAGATAAGGTGTCAATAACCAAAGAGGTTACTTACTCAGCATATCGCATTGCAGTAAACACAAAGCAGTCAGTCGGTGCATGTGACACAGAATCTGTGCAACAGCCCTCATTTTAACAGACAAATTGCACATCTTATAAGCAAGGCCATCAGGATTTGAGGCACTTCAGGCATTGTAGACTCAGGAGGATGAAAGTAAAGACTTGGCACTCTGAAGCTAACACATGCAGAATGTGATTAGTCTTTCCTGTATCATTGACTAAACCTTCTAATTAATCTGGAGGGCCTCACACAAGCATCAAATACACAGACTAACTAATATGGAAAGCAGCCCATTTACTTCTCTATTAAACCTAAACAGGTGCAGAAATAAAAATAAAATCCACTTCTCATTAGCTCAGACATTCTTTTCCAATACTAAATGTTAAATCTCAGTAAGTCTTGACACTTCAGAGGTGCAGCATGTGGAAATAGACTCAGGTCTGAAGGATATTCCAGTATATAAAAAAAATTCCCCTTGTCTATGTAACGACTCACTTTGTGACTTGAAAAATTCCACTGTGAGCTCAAAAAGACATGTCAAACCAAAAGCACTGGCAAGATAAAGATGTCTCCTTTTAGGCAGCAGCCTGCAGTTAAAATCCAAAACCATCCTTCATGCCAAAGACTTCATCTTTCATGCCAATGACCATCTCATCAATAATATCTGAACAGATAAAATATAGTCTCCACTTCCTTCTCAAAGAACAATATTACTACAATAATCTGACAGAGCTTGATTTATGAGATCACCTCAAGGAAGACTTCACTTTCTTCATCTGTACACAGATTTTATCAACAATTTAAAAGTACAAATAAGATAGTCAGATCTATTTAACAATATAAGGAAATATGATTTGCATTAGTTTGAACAGTGATTTGAGATATATAGACTGGTAGCACTTCACCTATTGTCCTCAGGACAAAAGAACCTGCAGAGGTGATTGAAGGGATCCATCCAAGAATATAAAGGAGCACAGAAAGGCATTGTTGCATCAACTACTCAAGAGTTCAGAGGTAACCAAGTATTCTGCAGCCTTACACATTTTATACTTAATTTCTAGCCTATGGCTATATGATCCTACACACCACTGAATGACACATACATGAACTTCACTGAAAGGGTGATCAGACAGGAACCAGAACTGTCTGCCCAGCTCAATAAACTGGAACAGCCTGTCCAGGAAAGTGGTGCAATCACCACCATCCCTAGAAGCGCTCGAAAAATGTGTGAACATGGCACTTGGGGACGTGGGTTAGCGCTGAACACGGCAGCGTTAGATTAACAGCTGGACTCGGTCTCAGAGGTCTTTTCCAACCTTAACAATTCTATGATTCATGCTGTACTCTTACTTCACCTTATAGAGAGCATGAAGAGAATGAATCTGCTACCAGCAAGGCTTGTATGGGAGATTTCCCATTCCCACTTCATTTATGGTTTGCACTTAGCCCACAACAGCAAAGCCTGAGCTTCCCGATTTCCTGAATTCTGGCAGCTTTCTTCTTCCACTTCCCACTACCTTTGCTCAGCAAGAGATTTTTTGAGAACATCAGCAAGGAACTCCGCTTTGCCCCTAGCTATTAACACACAGTTCTAGTATAGCTTGTAAGTAATGAGAAACCACTGCAGGGAATTAAAAAAAAATGCCTTCAGTTTGGTTTCCAGCTACAAGAATAGCTGCAGTGTTTCCAGCCAACAATCCATCCACCACAGTGACCTTTTTACATAGGTACATACCTAAAAAAGAGTAAGAAACAGAGCATATGCTTATCCTATCACACTCCCAAACTCAAATTATTTTATGCTGAGAGGATTTCTTTAATCTGATTTTATGTGCTTTAAACCCATCACTTCATCTTTCTTCCATGTACCTTTTCCAGTCAAGTCTCCCACTGAGTCCACAGAACCTTCTCAAGCACGCAGCGGCAGCACAGTGTTAAGGGAAATATCACCTTCCTCTGCTCCGAGCAGGGCTGAAGACAGCCCCAGCCTTAACAGCAGGTGCTCACAATCAAAGGGCATTCCTCATCACATAACCTGTCCCTGCCAGGCAGAAAGAACACTTCCCACTAAAAAAGTCAAACCCTGGCAATTCTACCTGCCAGGGGTGGATTCCCACTCCCAGCAGAACCTGCAGAGAATTCACCTCTCAAGCTGTGCTCTTCTGAAGTTTCCGAAAAGCTGTTTCACAGAAATTACAAAAGACTGCTGACAATAGGGACCTCTCACCAAGTCTCAACATTTCCTTGTAGAAGTCACAAGAATTTAAGGAGGTACAAGACCACAGGTTTTGTCTTCTGACATCGTGAACTACCCTTCCCCTGAAACCGCTAAGTATTTTGCTGAAATTAAAAAGATTTAAAGCAGATACTTGGCATAAGAGGTTACAGCCCACCCTGTTAACATTTAGGAAAGTAATATGCAATTTTGAAACAAGAACCAGTTCTTTTAAGTGCCAGATGCGATTAAATATAAATGCCATGGCTTGTATAAGCTATAAAGCACTGAGAAAGTACCACTTTCCAAACTGTTTCATTTGCTGAAGGAAGCAAACTCAGCAGTAAGAAGTGAACCAATTACATTGCCTAGAATTAGAGATGAATAATTTTATGACAGCTACTACCAGCACCAAGATATAAATTTCACTGCCTGCAGAGACTGAGTTCAAGAGAACTAACTCGTGAAATGAAAGACAAGATTAAATTGGGCAACAAATGTGCTCTACAGAGGGAAGTTCTGTATTTTAAAAAGTCTGAAAACCCCTTTCTCTTCCCCCACAAGAATCTGTTCCATATTCCAAGAAATCCACTGGACTAGTCTGGCTGCGTTGGTTTTAAAACAGCAGTGAGGACACGGTAATTTAATTTTCAGTTCTGGTCTATCACATTTAAAAATACATTTGTATTTGCAAATACGCTACATAACTGGCAGAGAGTATTTACACACATACTTTGTGATAGTGTACAGCATAACTCCTGAAAATGAAACGGGAACATATTTTGGTATGTTCATAGCCAGTGCAGATACAAACAGTGCTTCCTGATCCATCACTGGGAACCCTCCCACAGACCCCCTGCAGCCAAACCTTTTACTTGTTTAGAAACAGAATAATGAAAACAAGCAGGCTGAGCTTGGATAGAACTGAATTCTCCTGACAACACTAACTTTGACAGACAAGTAGACAGAAAAGGGCGTAACTGCAGCACAGCCTATGGTAAATGTTGTATTGATCTCAGTGAGGCTGTTTGTATGAGCACGTGCACAGCTGTTTACACAAACCTGTGCAAATAAATCAGGCTTAAAGCACTTCCCTGTACTTCTGCTGAAGCACTGCTCACAGACACTGCAGCAAACTAAAGCAGACACCAAAAGCAAAAAGAAAGGAATCACCAACTAAATAAATACAGGTTAACTATCAAATTTGAGCAGCATTATTCTAAACATACCATAATTAAATGCAATGAATTCTACTTGAGAGATTGCCCTGGTACCGGGAAAGAATACTTTCAAATTTTATGTGCAGCAAATTATGCACTGTGCCATTCACATTTCAGAAGGATTTTTACATGGTCAGAATATAAAACACAACAAAACATTCTGTGATGTGCCTTTCAGAGCCACAAAACAGCCTGGAAAAAAGGAACTGCATGCATCCTTTAGTACTTCAACATCACATTCAGCAGTAACTTATAATCATGGGCAGTACAAATATTAACTCACTCAGAGAACAGATAATGCAGTAGCTATATCAGCCATTACAGTCAAAATGTACACAGTCCTGAATGAAATCAGAGCTTCCTAGCTCTAATATCTGACCTGGCATATCAGAAAAAAATATTTTTAAATATACAAAAAAATGAGCAAAATTTTATTCCTGTTAAGAGCTTTTGCATACAAAAGAAAACCCCACTGTGCAGGACCATTACACAAAATATTAGATGTTACCTGACAGCCTAAGTTGCTCCAGCTTTGTATTTAAGGTACAAATAACTTCTACCAGTAGCACACATTACCATTCAAGTTTTCTTTACCTAAAAAATTTTTTTTTGCATTTTTGTATTGAAGAAAAAGAATTTTCTGTCCCTCTTAAGCCACAGGTTTCACGTTGTTTCACCAAGCTTCACTGCAGGTTGCTCGAGCCACTGAAGCCTCACCCTTGAAGTGGCACACCACCTCTCACAGATCAGGCTGTATTGAAAGAAATAAATTCCTTCAGAATTCAAAACAACTCTCTTGGAAAGTTTGCCAGAGACTATCCAAGACATTTGCAAAAAAATAAAATCCAGAATAACATTTAAATCATTTGAACATCACAAAACTACTTTTACACTACAGATTGACTGACACCTCATGGAATTTATCTTCTGTTGATTTTGTCTCAAAAATTATTTTTGAAAATAGCCCTGCAAGAAAGCAAAAATAAGAACTGTAACTACACAGCATGACAAGTGTTTCTTACAACAAAAATGTCTCAAATAAACCAAAATAAGCCACCATCAGCTTGACTGAAATATCCTTTTTCTAAAATCAAGTATATAGCAAGAAGGAATGAATCTGGTTAAGGATAAATAGGCTGGAAGCACCAAGGCACAGTTTAGACAACCTTCTTCTCCCACCTAGTGGCAAGAAGCATAAAGAACAAGGTCTTTGGGAATGCAAAATAAGATGTTTTCAAACACCAGCCCTAAAGAGACTGACTGACATTATAAGGAGGATTGAGCCATGTACAATTCTGGTTCTCAAGTTTAAGTTCACAAGTAATGAACACACTATCATTATCATACAGAACAGAGTTTGTTTTGTCATTTTCCTCCTGTCATCAAAAATTGAGGCACAGTTCAGGAAAGAGACTACAACTGGCCCCCAGTACTCACAGTTCAAACAGACACTTAAAGCTCAGAAACACACAAGTGAACCAAAAAATGGCTGCATGCTGTAACACAGGTCCTGAATAAAGTCTGTCCGAAAATTTCCATTTTCTGGGGCACCTAGCATTGCATTTTGTACTGCAAAGACAATGGTTTTACTTTAAATTACTTATTTAGGGAAAGTAATCTATTTACCTCCAAGTTCATCATTTACATCCAAAATCAAATCTGAAGCAGTCAGTTTGAAGTAAGAATAAGCATGAGATGAATAAAAATTTTTATTTACTGTCCTTTATGTAAAAGTATCATTCCTCATATGAAAACAACCTTTGTGAGAAAAGTAGTACACCCATTTTGAATCTTTGCACACACTTTTTTGACAAAGTTTTTTAAATAAAGTCTAAAAGTTTTGCAAAATGACATTTTGGTTTTGACTAAAATTTTCAAAGCAGCTTTGAGATGTCAATGTCTAGATGATACTTTAATCAACATTTATTCAATTACTCAGTATTTCAGACTGATGCCATTCTATAGAAAACTGTACATGGATAGAAGGCAAAAAAGAAGCCAAACAACTGAAATGTACAATACTTACAATTTTCAACAGATGGCACTTTACAGCAAGGAACCTACATTGTCTAATTGGAAACAGAGCAACAGCAATTGGATGGCTGAGTGCACTGACATGCTAAAGCCTGCCACAGAAAAAGTGTAATATCTTCAAATCTGAAAGCACAGTTCTATAAAACTGGAACTACAAGAGGGAATCTAAAGCTACAGAAAAACTGCAAAGTTACATCCTATCTCAGGTATTAACCACACTGAGATATTCTACACAAAGGTGGGACATTCCCACCTCCTTTGCTTCTCAGGCAGAACCTACAGCTAAAATTAGAAAAGAAAGACAGCAAAGAAAATAGGACCATCAGAATGTGTTTATTATTGCATACTAGCAAGGATCTGGTTAGTGGGCAAGCTTTACATTTTCTAAGTTAATTTATATAAGATTAAATCAGCAGCCACAATCAAGCAGCAATTGCTATGCTAGATAACAAAAAGGCACGTGTAATTTGTAAATCATTTGAGGGTTTACGGATAAGATGTTGCCAGCTAAGAATACTCACTATTTTTAAAATGACTCATGCCTATACATAGAAAATATACACCTAGAGTATCTCCAGCCCTCAGTGGCATGCAAAAAAAAAAAATTCTCAGACATCTGAGACTAATTCTTAAAGTGATGTGACAAGTCTCAGAAAAAACCCACTTCTGCATGCACACAACTATACCACAAGATTTTACTAAGCATGATTTGTCCCAGAAACTTCACCTGAAAAATACATAAAACCTTTTGTAAATCTATCCTCTGCACCTAAACACCATTAGAAACTCCACACAGAGGTCTGTGAGACAGAATAATTTCCCCCTTTGGCATTAAGCAAGAGAAAACTTCAGGCACAGGAACAGACAGGAAAGGGAAGTGTTATACCTCTTGCAGGGCAAGTACTGAGCTTCCAAAATCCTTGATACCTACTTTCTTCTGTGTTCCTGAAAAAGGCATTCTTCCTCCTGATTGTAAGCAAAAAAAATCTAGGCACATAAGGATCTCATTCAGCAGTCAACAAACAAACAAGCAGCAGTGAAAATACAGCAGCAATGCAGCAACTCTTGGAAATCAGAAGATTTCAGTCCAGGTATTGGCCTTGTCAGACTTCTGAGCTCTCATGAAAACACAGATGCAATTTTAGCACATTTTTCCTCCTTCACTGGCAGCAGCAGATTCATCCCTTGCACACATGAAAAACTCCATACCCAGGTGGATTTAAACACAAGCCATTCATCCATTTAGAATCAACAGATCCACATGCTTTGCAGTGGATTTCCAAACTGATCCATGATTTCAGCGTGAAGGAAAGCCTTGCTAATCTGGTATCTACAACCTCTGCTCAGAATGAGGAAGCTGTTGTTTCCATACAGCTTCAGCCAACTTCAACTTTACAAAAATTTATGCCTCAATCCATTCACTTAATGAGAGATTTCCATATATCTGATTCAGGCTGCTTCCAGTCTTCTCCTGTCAGTTCTTTCAGGTTCAAGTCCTTGAAAAATTCCAAACGATGACTGCAAACAAAAGAGAAATAAACCAAGTCGTAATATTTTACTATTTTTGTAGTAATCTGTAAGAGCAAAAACAAACTGAGAGCAATGAAAGCAGCAAGGAACAGTCTCTTCACACAATTTCATCTGCTACCAACATCTGGAAAAGACAAGGGGGAGATTTTTTTTTGAAAGGGGTACTATAAAAGAATTCCTTCTTGAGTAGTATTACATCTATTCTCCAGTTTAATACAGAGAAATAAAAATATCTGTTTGTCACAGAACACTGATAATGTGTTTTACCAGCACTTGCTCAGATTTTTTTTAAATATACAATTGAAGAAGCTAAATTTTTCTTAAATAACGGCAATAAATGGTAATTTATTTAAAATTTACCCTACCTCACCATAACTGTATGTTGTGTGACAAGTTTTGCAAGAACTAGTGTGCCCTCTAGAGCCGGTTCATTTATACAAAATGCCCAGGAGTGACAGGTTTTATCAGATCATCTCAGCCTCACATTCAAAAGAAAAAAAAAAAAAATAAAAACAGGCTCAAAGCACAATTTAAAAATCCAAATTCTCTGTTTTCTTCCATTGATACTGGGTATCCTTTAATTATACTTTTTTAGTTTAGTCTGCCTTCTCAATTTTTTCCATAGCATGCAACCATCTGTAGAGGTGAAAGCTTTTAGAACAGGAGGGAAGGAGCAGAAGAGATTTACTGGAAATGCAGCTGCTGAAATTATCACTAAATGGCACTTCAGGAGAAGCTGAAGTCAAGAAGGAAAAGCAGAACAACCTACCCATGATTTAGATGAGGAGGGTGATAAAAGCAGATACCAATAATACTGAATGCATAATGTTTTATATGTCTAATGTGGAAATCAAGCACTAATTTCAGTGCCACACTGCTTTCTACCAAGTACAGCACCAGAGCTAAGTACTATATTAAAAATACTAGGGGCACTCAATCCAAAAACCAGATTAGCTTTTTTAAGTATTCCAACAGTAGTGCAACCATATTACAGAAGAACTCATTTTACACTTACAAATCTGGTTCCTGTCCTTCCTGCCGTTCATGTGGAGGCACAGGATAAAGTGCTTCATATTTTCTCTCTTCTCCTGAGCCATGAATTGCAAAGGCATTGAACTTGTCAGTGCATGGTGGAAAATAACTCCATGGAAGAAGCGCTTTACCCTCCCATTTGGTTTTCATTCTGGTCACCTCAAACTCCAAAGGAAGCTCTTCCTGTTAAAGGAGGGAAAAGAAAAAGGAAAAAAAAAAAAAGGAAAAAAAAAGGTATTGACCATCTTTTGATCAGAAAGTCGGTAAATAAAAAAATAAAAGTAATTATGAATGTACTTGACCACTTACTTTCCATGCTTTTCTTCTGCCAGAAAGAAGCAGCAGTAAGTGCTGTCCGTGGCTGTCAAAGAATCAGAGCAGAGATTTCCTAAAACTAAAAGTTATTAGTGCATAATACCTCCACAAATACATATGTTCCCCATACTGAAACAATTTCTGTGTCTAGTCTCCCTCATACATGTATCTCACAAGCAGTAGAACTGCAAGTGTAAATTAACTTTTGGGACTTTTTCAATGCTGTACTTACGGACAAAGCTCAACTTCTAAATACTGCTCAGTTCTGTCACTCAGAAAGAATGCTTCTACAACTGAAAAAAAAACCAACAAAAAAACAAAAAAAAACCACCAAGCTATCAATATTTTGCATTAACTATTTTGTAATATCCTGAGATCTTCATTTCCCATTAATACAACCCAATTTTCATGGGTTTTGGCCCGTGCCATGCCAGAGCCTGACTTGCTATTGACATGTACAAAGTAAATATAACCCAAATACTCAAAATGTTGTGCTACAAATCCAACTCCAGAAGCTCTGAATTGCTACAATCACAAAGAGCTTTAAAAATTACTGTACTAACTTTATTAGCTTTACCAATTCCAGTTTTGAAAACAGCTACCTTGATGCAGCAGGAAAATAAGGGAAAGAGAATCACATATTCAGAGCAGGGCACACACCCCATAACTAAAACTGTTAAATCTCAGAAGTAAAAAGAAAGCATTTAGCTCTTAAATGGTTTTTCCCTGTAGATGGATATTTTGGACAGTTCCAGGTGTACTTGAAAGCCACATATTACATTTGAATCACATTTCAGGAAAACAAAGTAGAACTACAGTGGTGTTTCTCATGTAAATTTACAACGGTGCTCCTCACAGCAAATGGAATTATTAGAAAACTTTAATAAGAATTATGATTTATTTTTACTTAAGCATATGTGCTATAGTAACACCAAAGAGATGCTAATACCACTTCAGTAGAGCTTGAATCAGAATAGTTCAATAATCAGGAAGTGAAGAACTGCTGGAAATATTCAATTCTTGCATTACTCAAAGCAATGGGTAAACATGACAGTATGGACAGGAAAGGAGAAAATACCCAGCACTACTAAGAGAATTTTCCCCATTCCATTTGGGTACAATTATTTTGAACTGCATTTCATGAGGTGTAATTTCTATGTTTCACACCTTCCTATTCCTCAAAGGAATTTTGGAAAAACAATTAAAACCCTGTACTTCTTGAAAGCAAAACAGAATCTATCTTTAGGATTGCACTTCTCCTTCCACAAGGGCATTTAAAAAACATATCTATATATATATACCACAAAATTATTTTGATATTCAAATATGTCAAGCCTCTGATAGTGCATGAGTTATATCAGTAACCCAAACAGTAAGTTTGAGTGCATATCCTATTGATAGGATCAGGAAGTCAACTTCAAAATTATTGAAATCAACCCAGATCACTGAACACCAGTTTTGCAGAGACTCTTTAAAAAAGACCAGGCATATCAAAAAGAGAACATCAGTGTCTACAGAAGCCAGATACGTTTGCAGAAGAGTCACACTTACCCTCATAGTCCCACAGTCCACCAAAAGGTTTCCCTGGCTCTCCGGGTGGTGCTGGAGGGTCATTAAAGAAAGGAGCATGAACTTCCATCAGTAGTCCTTCATTATCCGGCCTCAGCCCAATTGAAACCGGCTCATGGCTCACAGGCAAACCATCCCACGTGTGTTTAATTCTAAATTCCATCTTGAGATACTACAAAAAATGAAAAAGGAAAGTTCTGTCAAAGATCTCAGATTCCAACACTGCACGAACTGCCATTTGGTTGCCCAGGAAAAAAAAACCCACACACATTGGTATAAATTCAATTATCAAATCGTGTTTTTAGACATCAGAACTGAAACAGATTAGCTTTGTAAAAAAACTAAATGAACAGTTACATAAATGCTGCTTCTCACAGTTTTTATACCCGCAGGGTTACGAATGAGTCTCAAGTCTCATTAAGCTTAAGGCTTTTCAAACATACATCTCAAGAAATACCTTCCAAAACCACCAGAAGTATTTATCGAGAGAACAGATAAACAAAACAGTCTCCACTACATGAACTGAAGAGGATTTAGTAACATCAGAAAAAGAGACTGAGGGAAAAACCTTTAATGTCTGAGACACAAGAAAATTAAGCAACTAGCTGAAGCTTTCATTTGCAGTCACTGCAAACCAGCCTTTCCTTAAACACCTCCAGGGACGGCGACTCCACCAACTCCCTGAGCAGCTCGTTCCAAAGTCCAACCACCCTTTCTATAAAGAAATTATTCCTGAAGTCCAACCTGACCCTCCCCAGATGCAGCCTCAGGCTGTGTCCTCTCCTCTTATCGCTGGTTCCCTGGCAGAAGCGGCCGATCCCCGCCTGGCTGCAGCCTCCGACGGGCAGCGGCTCCCAGAGGGCTCCGCACCGCTCCCGCTTCCCCGCTCTGCCTCTCCAGCCACGCACTGATTTTTTTCCTGAAGGGAAGTTTAAACGCCTCAGCGCCCACCTTTAACCCACAACCCCGTGACGGAAAGTTTATAACCGGGCATTTCTTTCGCTTTCGCCTCCGCCTCAGCGCCGCTCCACGTCNCGGGGCACCGGCGGCTGAGGGGAGCTCCTGCCGCCGCCTTCCGCTTCCCTCCCCGCCCCGCCGGCGGCCGGACGAGCGGCTTTTCCCCCGGGGCTTCGTGGAGTTTGTTTGGGGAAAGCTCGGAGCAAAGCACGGCCGGGTGAGTGTCGGTAGCGAGGGTTTGTATTCCTTAGCAGTGAGGGTTTGTATTTCGTAGCTTTCCCAGCGTTCGCTGCAGCGGGGAACAGCATGGGTGATGCTTTTAGTTAGCTAAACACCGGTAATTAAAAGCTGCTAATGAGGGTAATGGCCAGAAACACATGCGGTTTTGTGTGAATGCCTCTCTAGTTATGAAACCACGGCGTTTCCAATGTTTTGCTAGCACTTGAAAGCTCTTTTGCCAGTTATTCGTGAAATTTACGGACTAAAACCGATATTTTAAATTATGTGTTTCTTGATGGGCTTAATATAGCTTAATATGCCGTAATCAGAGCACATCTCAATTACTCACCAAGAAATAACTGGCCAAAACAATTTGTTTCTGCTGAGTTTGTATTCCCGTAAGTTGGAGATGGGTTGTCACTGTCCCTCATCAGTGCTGCAGGAAAACTTGGCAGCACAGCAGCCAGACCAGCTCACGGTGCATGCAGTGTTTGCAGCTGTGCATCGCTCAGACCTCAGAATTTCACCGGTACCAAGTTTCATGTGGCCAAAGGTGAAAGATTTCCAGCTCCTGATTCCGAGGATTTCAGTAGCTGAAATGCGTCTGTCTGAGATAACTCGGTCATTATGGTTCAAAAATCTGTGTCTTTCTGGAGCTTTGCAAGAGTATTTATTACGCTGTGACGTGAACAAATTATGCTTTTTCAAATATTGGAATGTTGCCTTTTCATATGTATTTATTTTGGCTGTAGCTTATTTTATAAGTTTTTAGAATCTAAGTAGAACTCAGACTAAAATTTGTACATTTTCACAGGTGCTAAAAGACAGATTTGAAGTTGGCTTCTATGCCAGCTGAGCCCTAAGTTGTTTTAGGCCTACTCTGAGCCTGATACATGGATTGATGTTTCTCTTGCTTCACAAATGTGAAATCAAAGTTCTAAAACACTGAATATTTGTAATATATATGAAAGAAGATTCTCTAAGCAGTATTATATTTAATGTTGTAGAGTGTTTGTTTTGTTAAATATGTAGCTGTAAAGAAGGTTGAGTTTTACCTGAATGCTTTTTGAAGTCTTAGTAACCAGACCTGCAAATAATAATCCTCCATTCCATTACATACTTTTGTGATACATGCCGAACTTTTTTCAGAATGTATTTAATGCTTTAGTGTCTAAAGGGAGCTTCTGTGAGTGATGCTTAAAATATGCCCCTTTTTTGCACCTATGGCATCTCACACATACTTTGTCTTTTAGGGGCAGCAGCTTTCCCCTTCCTGTTTCTTGACATTCCTTTGCTGTCACCTCCTTTCTATCCCCACTGTCTTTTCCCTGTATCCTCCTTTAGAAGTTTAAAAAAGAATCATGGGATATGTATCAAGAAAAATAGACAAAAGTTGTTTAAATCAAAACATAGTCATTGCATTCCCAAATTCTTTTTTCTTCTTTGTTACCCATTCCAGCTACAAAAGTGTTACTCAGATTCTTACAAAACAGATCAAAAATATTTCTTAAAGAAAGCAGAATGTGAAAGGAATGGAATTCATTATTATTGTTATTATTACAATTCCTGTAGGTTTTTTCAAGTCCTGGGTTTTTTTTTTAAACAGTTGTGCTAAATAGAATAATTTTAGAAGCTAATTTTTTTCCCCTCAAAGCATTATACTGTTAGAAGTGTTTCTGACTGCCAGTCCCATTTGTGTAGTCAGAGGCCTGTAGATGATAGCCATGATTCTCAAACGTGGTGTTTTTCAGATCAGAGGCTAAAAATGGCACTTGGACACTATGAAACCAATGAGGTTCTGAGAGCTAGTGCTGAACAGGTATGTGATGCAGGGTTGGAAGTAGTAAAAATTTTTTTCAATGATGTTTTGTGATAAACAAATTTCCAAATATGGAGCACAGCTCACTTCAGTGTTGTCTGACCCTGTTTTGAGTCCATCATACAACATAGCAACAGCAGAAAAAAACTGCCCTGGCAGTGAATTATGGTATTTTTGGTGCATTTCTAAATGTTTTGTCCTTGAAAGAGCCCTTGATTTGTAATTTAGTATACTTTTTCACTTTTATAGTCTTCCCTAATCTAAGAGATTGGTCTCATGTAACTTTTTGTGCTGGGTGTGCCATAAGCCTGTCTGAAAGCTTGTGCAGAAGCTAGGGCTTCAGCACCTTCCTGATGCTGAGATGCATGGAAATGAACCAAGTGCTTACAAAAACCTATGGTTGTTCTTTTAAGATTGAGTCAATTTTCCCTCGGATGTAATTATACTTTAGATAAGAGCATGTCCAGGAAAAAAAAAAATCCTTATTTTTTCATATTGGACCAGCACTCGAGGGTTTTTGATCATAAACCTGAAAGTGATTCTGTGGCATATTTTGTATGGACAGTTTTGGATTTCATATAAAAATTTAAAACTAACTACATGTATGTGCAATTACTGAAGAGTAGATTATTATTCCATTACAGGAGCATGCCCATGTTGGTGATGGAGCATCAGGATCCAGGATGATGGACCAAAGGTAACCGATTCCCAATGCTAAGTGGGAATACTGCAGTGTATTTGAAGGAAATTGTCATGTGCTCATAGGAATGTAAATATCCAGGTGAACTGGCTCTTGTGGACACATGTCTGTAGAGGTGTTACTGTAAAAGTTGTTTTTAGGTGATATTGTGTTTATTCAGAAATTAAATTACTTTGCTTCTACAAGCTGTAAACTAAAGGATGAGAGATGAATGAAGGAATTCTCCTGTCTAAATTTTGTGAGAATAAACAAAAGTTTTGGTGAGATTGCACTGATCTGGATACCATAGGTAACTGCTGTCTGTTGAGATCGGGGGATGTCTTTAAAAATGCTTTTCTGACACAAACTAACAGTTGTCTATCAGTAAATGGTTTCATGATCATGATCCTCTTACAAAAACAACCCAGCCTTTATTCTTAGCTTTTAATATAGAATTTTCAGAGAATTTCTATCAATTATGAAAAGATTAGGAGGAAAAAAACCATAGAATTAGACCTACACTGTTCTGCATTGTCTTGTAGGCCACTCTGCTATTGTATGTGAAAGCAGCAATGAAATCTATTTTAATATTTGGGATTCTGTGTGAATCTGTGAAATATTAATGTTGTATTAATGGTCATTTATACTGTCCCATTATGTGTTCCACTTCTGTTATGTCGGACCCTTGCTGTTAGTGATCATAATTTAAAAGATTAAATTTGTTCATTTGATTCTGGGGAATGTTGGCTTGGAACTCAAGAGAAGTGACTGTTCTGGCCTCTAGATTAAGGACTCTTTAAAACTAGTTAATTATCAGAGCATTTCAGCTTTTACAAAACTGATTCTGAGCATGTTTTTCAACTTCTTAGCCTGTCAGCTCTATTCACAGAGTATGGTAAACGCGTGGCTGAAATGAAAGAGCAGCTGCAGCTTTATCAGGTATGGGCATTGCTAACATTTCAGACTGGATCTTCGTTTAGTGGTGTCAATACGTAGGGCACTGGTTTTTGTCATGCTTCACAAAGCTGCTGGACTGCAGGCTGCCTCAAGGGGATGAATGGAGAGCTTTCTGTGAAAACCTTGGGAGATTGTCCATGTTGCAACAGTGTAATCCTGGGGGTTGAGGTGGAGTGGAACCATCCTCCTTTCAGCCACATGAAATGAAAATTTTTAATGCTTCATGGCACAACTGAAAATGAAGCAATATTAAAACTTGTGGCATACAAAGAAATTTTTGTTTGTGGTCTTCATGCAGAAGTTACACATTGGTTTTGGTTTAATGCACTTAATTTGTTCAATCTGTCCATCATACAGATTTTGCAAATAGTCTTCAAGCTTGATCAGTTTCAGAAGGCAGCAGAAGCACTACAGTTTCCTTGCACTAGTCAACAAAACAGCCAGTTTGATTCATATAACTGGAGTTTCTCCTCGGTTAAAACTAAGTTTGACTAAACTTTCGTCAAATGCTTGCGGCATGAAAGATGAGTTACCTACTCTATCCCTAAAAACTTGAGTTAATTAAAAATCAATCTGTAAGAGCCATGAGGATTTCAAAAGGTTAAGTTTAACATCTGTAATAACTTCCAAATGCTGAGGTGTAACAGGACTTGGCAGCTGTTAAATTCAAGTGGCATCCTGTGACTTGCCTTAGAAAAGAAATTACTTTCATTTGCTGTATTATGCTGAATTAAATTGTCCATCATTTACAGTGTCAGTCAGAAATACAGGATGGCAGTGCTACCAGAGTTTGTGTAACGTAAATGAGTGCTTACTCTTGCATGTCTTTGTGTCAGGCACAAATGGGTGAGATGACGCTAAAATTGGAAGAAGTCACCGAGGAAAATGAAAGGTAAATAATTGCCCTGTCATGTTGCTACTACTGTTTCTCATGATTTATAGACATTAAAAAGCCTTTTTTTCTAGGACCTTGAAATCTTTGAAATCTTCTACTAAGTAGATTCAGGATCCTAATGTTAGAGTCTTTATGCGCTTAATACAGATTACAGCACCAGGTATAGGAGATTTTACAATGTCACGAAAAGAACTGGATGTGAAACTTATTTCAAACTGTCCATTTTGTTTATAGAAAATAGATTTAAATTTGACTTGGAAGGAAGTAGTATGTGCAGGTGGTACAGTGTATTTCAGTTGTCAAAACAATCCCTTTTAAAGAAATACCTTGCTGAACTTCGTTCACTGAATTTCAGGCTGCATGCAGAGTTGAAAGAGCCTCTTGAGAAGCAACTGGAGGCTCTTCCTTTCGTGCATCTGGAAACTGATATTCCTGCAGATGAAGGCACAGTGAGAGCCCTTCAAGAGCAACTACAGCTGGAAAAGCAAGTGTGTGAGATTAAATATTTATATTGCTTTGTTTCTCTTGTTGTGCCTTGGCAGATATGGGGAGGCTGTTTTATTTCTTGATTCAGAAATCATTTGGTCAGAGTTCCTTGAGGCTGTTTTGAGCTCCTCTTTTACTTAGACTTGAGGAAACTCCTTTCCCAGATTCATAAAATATTCTTTAATAATAATTTGCATCAATAATTTTACCTTGTTGACTTGATCCGTGTGTTGAACTCATGATCAGCAACTCCATTAAATATTTTGCTGAATTCAAGCTTTTTGCAGTAACTTGTTGTTTTAATCAAAACTATTGTAATGTGATATGAGGAGGGAGTATGGAGTATAGAAAATAGTATCTAAACCTGAAAATACAAGCAAATTTTGTTCAATTTATTAAAATGTATCAATTGTTGTGTATGATTAAGTTGGATTTGACAGCTGAATTTTGTTATTTGAATAGTATCTATATTGTAGGCCTACTTTAAAGAACTGTCAAAGTTTGAGCTCTTAAAAAAAAAAGGCAAAAAACAGGAAGTGGGATTTGAACTTCCAAGCATCTATTTTTCTATACTTGAATTTAAATTTTTAAAAAAGTGCGAAGAAAAGTATAGGTAATGGCATTTCTTCAAAATAGAAGTTAAGACCTGTCTTTTTAGACAATGATAGATGAAGACAAATGTGCTATAATAGAATATTGTTCTGTAAATTAGGAAAAAGACCAAGCAGTTGAGCGCTGGCAGATGTTGTCACTGGAGCACGATCGACTTCAGCAGCAGTACCAGGAGTGCCTGACTAAAACACAGATTCTCATGAGTGAGAGGAAAAAGCAGAATGTAATTTTCATTTATTTTTGTTCTCTTTTTTTTTTTCATATATATGTGTACACAAAATGTGCATGTAAATAATTCTGTGTTTGAATTGCATGGCTGGAAATCAATCAGGACAGTAAAACATCTGAAAAAGTTGCTTAAGATTTCTGAATTCTGAGGTGAAAGTCTATCTGTTCTCCTGTGTTTGAATAGTTGGAAAAGTAGTCACCATTTCCTGTTGTTATTTAGTAAAGAAGTAAACAGGTGAAAAATCAAGTTCACTAGTCTTTGCCTAATGCTAGCTTCCATTTAGCAGCCTGTTTCTCTTCTGCTGAGTCTGGGGAAGGCCTTTCAGGAAATTCTTAGAAATGCAGTTCTGCTCTGATGAGCTATATAAAAGATGCTCAGTGTGTGAAGAATAGAAACTTGGTGTATTTATGTACTTTTCTACATGTATTTCTAGGAGAGAACCTACAAATTCTTTTAATATTTCCTTTCTGTTTTCAAACACACTTGACTTATGAGCACAGCTTCAGCTCACCTCAGAAACATTTTTTCACTGATTTTGGTTTTTTGTGGTATTAAATTCACCTTGACAATGTGATCTCTGAGAAACAGGATAAGTGTCTGTGCAGCTGTTGTACTCTGTCAAGTTCCATAATTATTTCAATGAATAGTTAAAAGGACTCTTACCTTTATGGAGTTCTAGCTTTCTGCTCCTGTTTCTTCTGTTAGATTTCTTGTCTTGTATTGTCACAATCACATACATCATATAATCATATAATCACATACATACTAGAGTACAGAGAGTCTTTGGTAGCTGATGGAGGGTTTAGGGCTTCCATTTTTTATTAGTCACTAAATTTTTGGTGCATGTTAATGCCACCATGACAGGAACAAGGCTAAGCAGCCTTTTATTCTTAAAGGTTACTGGTCTCCCAGAGAAAACAGCTCTCCAGTTAAATAAACTTTTATTTTAGGTTTAGCTTTCAATGAAGCAAACAGCTGTCAGAGGTAAATAGAAATAGCTAAGGTCAGGTAGAATTAGAATTGGCAGAAGGCATGGAGGAGAGGTGGGGTATCATAAGGACTGCAGTCCTAATGTATAGTAGTCCTTAGTATCCTACTAAGGATGTAGTAGATAAGGGAGTGGCAGGAATAGGTTTCTAGCATATCCTTGGCCTTGAGACTGATAGCACAATTAGAAGGTATTTTCAGCTCAGGGACTTAAGTCCTGTCTCTGCTCTGAAGAGAGAGAAACATCTGCATGCTGCAGATATTTTTTCTGAGTTATGCTAGTTTTCCTAAGAATGATAGAGTTCACATTCAGAGACTCAAGAACTTAACTGAGCATTTTTTATTTGTTTTTTTATTCACACAAGACATCCAGTATGGCAAAGAGCAAATGAAAATGTCCATAACAGGCATTTTTTAATTAACGGGTACATGTCTGTTTACTTTGCTTAGCAAAAGTGCTTGCAGTAGCATCACAGCCTGTGTGTCTCTTTAAAAGCACTGCTCATGTGTACTCTCATGTTTTGAAAATAAGTGCATGTGAGTTTTAGAAGGAGGCAGTTTGTGACCCAGTAAAAATTAGATAGGTCAATAGTTAATCTAATTTTATGGGGTATGAGGTCAACAGCCAAAAACAACCTAGCTGAAGTCTATGAAGACACACTGAATTTCCTGCTACATGTATAGTTGGTGTTTTTTTTAATGTTTTCAGTTGACTATGAAGCTTTCTAATTATTCACTCTTTCTGACTATAATATTTATAAGAAACTGAATTCTCTTTTTAGGATCAACTGACTAGCTTTCAGCAGCTGACTCGCCAGCTGCACATGGCCAAGGAGAAAATAGAATTGGTGAGTAAAACCTTCTGAACAGTGAACCAGTAATTTATTTATTTTCCTACTAGACCCTCAAACTACAAAACCAAAGCAAAAAGACCTTCACACATACCTGGTGTCACTCAAATTTGCAAACTTCTCCATCAACCAGGGAGCAGTGATGGCTTTATTCCTGAACTCCAAACACCAGGTCAAGGTGGTTGAGAGGGCTGCTTTTAGTTTTCTGTGAGCTCTTTCTTTTACACTTTCAGCTGAATTACAGTATGTGGCTAGTGTACTTCACACATTCAAAAACTTCTTTCACAAAGGAAACATTTTTTGAAATTATGCCCTCTTGCATGTGATAGCTCTGGCGCATTTTTATCCATTCCTGTTTTGGTACTGCTGTCTTTAGTGTCTTTGTCACCTTTATGCACATTTTTCTGAGCTCTAATAACCTTTGAGAGCTTTATCCACATCACTGTGAGACTTTTTAGTTAATAAGCTTTAGCCTAGGCCTTCCAAACTTGACAGGCAGTTTTAGTAGAAACTGTCAAGTAGCTTTTTGTGGAAAAATTGAGGTGAAAGAGGGGGTGAAGTTCTTGACTGAGCAGCTTTGATTTTGATTCCTTTATGATTTTTTTTTTTTTTTTTTGGTGAGTGTTTGTTTTGAATAATGGAGTGCAAAAACACTCCTAACCTACTCTAACAGTCCCTTCTTGTTTTTTTATCACTGAAATCTTTTTTCCTCACATCAGAGAAAAGAACTAAGACAATATTTAAGATAATCCATTTGTTTGCATTATCCAAAAAACATTTGGCACCATCTGTTACCGAAAGGATGAAGATGTCATGGGATAAAGCAGCAAGCCCTTTTTTTGAACTAACAAACTGAAAAATAGGAAGTGAGGAGGCACATTAATTAGTCACGTTTTTTATTGTGATAAAACAGCTGTGTTTCCTAAATGTGCTCAGGTTGGAATTGTTCAGCATATTTATGCATGCTCTGGAAATGAGATTCAGTATTGAGGCAAGAGTGTTCACTGCTGATGTTAAAATATTTAGGGTAGTAAAAACTGAAGTAAGCTTCAGAAATTCACAGAAAGATCTCTTTGATTATCTGAGTTCAATTAATCTGACATTTTGTTGATATTAATGAAACCAAAATAATAAATGTGGGCAAGATGGGGTTTCTACTTTGGGTACTCCGTAAGGGTCTTGAAATGAGCTGTTAGCACTCAGAATAGATATTTTAGAAGTAGGAAGTTGTGGACATGATTTTCTGAACCTGAGAGAGTTTCAAGCTCTCAGTGGCTGATCTGTTTCCCACGGCAAAATCTTTTGGGAAACTTTTCTCTCTCAAGGATGGTTCTCTAAATAAGGTTTTGGTTCTCAAAACAATGACACTGATGTTCTGAGAGTGTTTTTCTCTTGTCCCACCAGTGGGATGAGAGAGGTGTAGTTCCTTGTACCAGTCAGGTTAACCTGTATCTGAACACCTTATAAAAATGGTTGAAAACCCTGAAATAGAGGTTTTTTTGCCTCCTGAAAATAAACCTTGGCTGCTTGCGATAAAGAACCCTTGTTTCATATTCGTGTCCACCAGCAACAGGAAGTGCCTGGTTACAAATATCTTTTTATTTCACAGACCAATCAGCAGTTTCTGAAAACTGTGACAGAACAAGATGTGGATCTAGAGAAGCTACGAAAGCAACTGAGGTATAAACCAGGCAGATTAAAAAATCTTTTCTATAGCTTTTCCTCATCTGCTGCTGTGTGTGCCTTGTTGTACTACAAGCTAATTTGTAATAGTTACAATGGTTTCAGTGACTATCTCTGAAGTTTGTTAGATATTATTAGTGTCTAACAAATAGACACTAACATATTTCCAGTTAGTTTTGTTTTATTCAGCTTTTCCCTGAAACAGTCAACATTTGACCTTTGATTTAAAAGAAGAAAAAAATGTCAGTATCACATCACAGTTGATTCTGAAGATAGGCTTAGAATGCAGTGTCCTCAAAACCCAATTAGTTACATGGTTACTCATTACAGTTCTGAAATTCAAATGTTCAAACAAGCTTCCAAGTTTTAATTTTTTTAATAAGATTTGTTTTCACCCCTTACCAATAAAGAGCTCTAAACCATAGGCTCTCTGGAAGTTAAAGGTAAAAGAAGTGTCAATTGCATTCCTGAAGTATATAAAGGAAAAGGAGAAATAATTATATGAAATAATTATATTAAATAATATATGAAATAATGAAAGTTATTTCATGATTATTTGTGTTTACAGCTGAAGTCTATTCAATGCCAGTTTAGTGTGTCTGTTTGCTCTTTTAACTAGTGATGATTGATGTCAAATTAAAATTTTATTTCATTCAACAGTGGATTTATGAACTGAGAGTAAAATAAGAAATTCAGTCATTATCCATCTCTAATTACAGACACTGATTATGCTCACCTTCCCCTCAGATCAGCCTAAAGTCCTTGCACCCCTAAAAACAGTGGTTTTCTCCCAAAGTTAATGGCAGCAGCTCTATCTAGCCCTAGAAAGTGCTGCAGTGTTTCTCCAAGAAGTCTGGATATTTTCACCAGTTGCTTCTATAACATGAAGATGTAGTCTGCATGGATTATACAGCATATGGTGCAGACACTTCTAATCCTTTGGGATGTTTTTAATAGTTCTATGTGATTTATGGTAATAGAGTACTAAGTCAGGAATGCAAAAGTAGATTTTTTTAAAAAACCAACTTGTGTGTTAGAGGATTGAGGTTTAAATTAGGTTTGTATGGCCTGGATACAACACACAAATTAAGAAACTTGGCATAGCTAGGGCATGGATCTGCATTTCAGAATCTTGAAGCTTTTAAACAGAGATAACTTGCCAAGATTAGTTTAAAGATATATTGTACAGTAAAGAATAAAAGCTGCATCTTTAGAATCAATTTGCTGCCTGTAAAATGCAGACCTCTGAATTTGATCTGAATCTCAACTTGGTTGTTAAAATGCATTTTTAATACTTAAGGTGTTCTTATTTTTGTGACCTATTTGTGTGTTTTCTTATTTTTCCCTTCTTATGCTGCCTTTTGAGTTTTTATTTTGTTCTACAACACTTCTAAAATATTTTTCAGGAGGTAGTTTAATGTCCCCCTGAATTTACTTATTGTAGGAGAAAGATGCAATGTTTCAGATTGACTAAAGTCAAAGTTTTGGACCCACACTGAAGAACATGTGTTTAGGAATAATGTTTTTATTGTAGTTTTTGCTTCTTAGAGAAGTTGTATCCAAATTAACTTTTCCGGTTAATTGGGCTGAAATAAAGTATTTGCTTAAAATCACTTGGATTATGTATATTTTACTTAAGATTTTTATGTAGGTACAGTATGCTTGACTTTTATGCCTTTAATTCAAAATCAGTATTTCTAGAAGAAATATTTTCTTGAAGTTGATTGTTAGAAATATGAAATATTTCCCAGGTTCTTTCATGACTATTTGTGCTGCAGTTTGCATGAGCTAATCTAATACGTGTTTGCTGTCTTTTAACTTTGTGATAGTCAGTCACTGGTTTTTAAATTTAGCCTCATGCAGCCTGAATAATTGGGTTACACCCCAGGTGAAGGCTCTCTGTGTCTTTCTGTTCCCATGTCAGAAGAGTGGGAGGGTTGCTTTTTTCAACAGACTTTTCTACTGAGGATGAAGAGCCACTAGTCATTAACATGATTCACTAACTATTCCTTTCTTTTCCCTCTTCTCCTTCAGCCCACGAAAACTGTTCAGAGTACAAAGAACATCAGAAGTGTATAGTGATTGTTTAAATTCCTAGTCCTGTTGCTTTAAAAAGTGAAGTTTAATTCTGCAAAAGACTTCTCTATTTTGTGTCTATGACTAATTATACCTAAGAATGATACCTAAGTTATTGAATCACTTGAAGTTTTTGATTGCCTACTCCTCCTCCTTTAACCGATGCATGTGTGAAGTAATTTCCACAGGACTTCTGGAATTTGGTATTCCTCTCTCTGTGCCACATAGTGAGAAGGAGAAGGGGGAAACATCTTCAGCCCTGTAAGAACAGTATTGTGGAATTTTTCTGCTCTTCACAGCCATTGTGACAAAGTTTTGATGGAGCCATTATTTTCCCCTCTATAATAACTGGTTTATTTATATACAGGCAAGCCAAAAGAGATGCACAGGTAGCAAATGCGAAGCTTGAAGAAATAATGGCATTGAAAGAGAAGCTTCACAGCCAGTTGGAGAGAAAGGTATTCTGGAGAAAGGAATCATTTCTGTTGCAACTAAATGGACAGTCATTTTCTGAATGCTGACATTAAATTAACTGCAAGTTGTTACCTAGCTTGTTCTATGTGAGTATATCTTTATTTTGTTCAGGAAAGCTCAGATCAGGTCTGGATAATACTTTCATTCTTTTCAGGAAGAAGACAGGATATCTGCCCAGGAGAGAGAAACAGCATCTGACAAACGCTTGCAGCAAATGCAGTCTAGTATAAAACAGTTGGAAATAAGGTAAAGAGAGCTCACTGTGTTTTAATAACAGGACACATGCAAAAATTATACTCTACAAAAATAGAGTCCGTCATTTGTATGTTTTATGGCAAACATGTTAGGAAATAACAAAGGGATGTTTTTGATGATCCCTCTGAGGATCTCTTGTCCTTTCTCATGCCTGCCAGTACTGACAGTCATATAAGAATAAGAATTCCTGAGCTGTTGTGAAATTACCACTGCTTTTCTTTCTCTAGAACTATGACTGCAACTTCCTTGCCCCCATCCAATTACTCCGTTTCCTCCACAGAAGAAAACTTTATTTCTTCTGGGGCTGTTCTGTTCTGGTTTAATAGAGAACATTTTCAGTGATGTATCCCATGATATCACTGGGATTCTTCCAAGGATCTTCTGAGATTAGAGATTTGAGTTAACTCCTATAATTCTTTTTCTTTCTAGGACTTGATTTATCATCAAATTCAAAGTACTCTGTCCAAAAACAAGCAGAAAACAATGCAATTTTGAGCAATTTAGGAATAGATACTTACTAATAGCTCAGTTTGAATGGATTAGTGTCCTAATTAACCATCACATTGTTAAATTTCTGCTGTCTTGTAGATTGTGTGTGACTGTTAAAGATGCTGAACAACTGAGAACAGAAAAAGTAGCCCTGGAGGAACAGATTAGAGAGCTTCAGGCCAAGTCTGCCAGTCTAGAAAGTGAGACATATGATGCTGTTGCAAAAGTCCAAGATTGCATACAGCTCTTGGAAGAAGCTAACCTAGAGAAAAGTCAGGTAAGTCGTTGGATGAAGGTATTTCCTAGAAATCAGGATATTTAGGATACATGAGGTAGCTTCTTTCGTGTCTGTTGTGCTAAAACTAGTCATGCATAGAGAGAAAACTGGGATGTGACCACACATCACTCAGACTTGTCCTAAAGTATAAACTTCAAAGCATATGTTGAGTGCCTGGATGAAGGTCATCTAAATGATTACACTGTACCTAAATATAAATCTTCCAAAGTTTTTGACAAGAGTTCAGAGTTTCTTACCAAATACTGATGTCAGAAAAAAAAAGGAAAGTTCTATTATGAATTTGTAACTGTTAAAGGCAAGACATAGGAGACAAGGAAAATAGAGAGTCATCAAGAAAGAAATCTAGACATGTGAAGAGGCCTTAGAAGAAACTTTTTATATACAATGTGTTATTAAACTATCATAGAATAACATTTATGCCAAAAATAATGATATAAAAATATGTCTCAAGGAGCCAAAACAAAGCAGACAGTTCTTAATTTACTGCTCAGGCTTAAACATCCTGAATTATTAAAAATGGGAAGAAAATGTAATGAACAGAAGAAAAAAATAAAAAGTGTTCCATTAATAAACAGAATAAAAAAATGTATGTTAATATACATGTCTGTTAACACTTTGTGTTTAAAATTTTTTCTCCCTGTATGAGATTGAGGTAGAAATTTTCCTCTGGATTCCTGTCCTTTCTTCTGTAAAATTCCATGCTCAGCCAAAATCTCCAAGTCCCAATAGAAAAAGACATTTACTGACTTTACTGACTAACTCTTTGTGTGGTTCTGATTTACAAGAATGTGCATTTAGTGCAACATGTTTTCAGTGTCAGTGTTACTGAGTCTCGGTGTCAGCTACTCCAAAGTAAAATGGAAAAGAAGGTGTCTTTTGAGTAGTGTGGGTTTTTCTCTTGGTGCACTGAAATATCAGTCATATTTCTTTTGTTCTTCTAGGCACTCTTTGGGGAGAAACAAAAGGAAGAAGAGATCAAAAAACTGCAGGATGAAATGTCTCAACTTGCAGAAAATACTGCTGCAAGAATTAGAAAGGAAGTAAGTTACAATGTTTATAAGGAATGGGAAGATTGTTTGGTTTTCCTCAGAGTGAAAAAGTACTGCTGGTGCATGGTCATCACAAGCAGTTTTCTCACAAGAGTTTGGATAATACAAGTGGCAAGACAGCATGCTGATAGCACCATCCTCTTCAGCATTTATTGTCTAGATATGTGTTCTAAACAAGAACCAAAACTGTTGGTGTCTCTGCAGGTGCTGGCATGGAGAAGGCTGCACTGTGAAGATGTGAATGACACTCATGGTGTCTTCATTTGAGCTTTTTTCTCCTAAACCCCCTCAGTTTAAGTAGTATGGATTGATAATAATAATTCTTCTAACATTTATGTCATAAGAGTTGTCAGTTATTGTGGTCCCAGGTATTTTCATGCTTTATACGCGTGCACCACCTATAGACTGCATACATAAATATATGTATAAGAAAAAAGAAAAAAATATATATGCATATATAAAAAGCAAGATGGAAAAATAGTTTGTGGGACTAATTTTGTAGTTTTGTTTTGGTCACAGGTAGACACTGCAAAGAAGCAATGTAACATGCAGGTTTCTCGGCTAACAGAAGAAATTTCAGCTCTTCAGATGGTACGGAGTTGATTGATAAAAATATTCTCAGTAACAGAACATTCAAGACTTCTAGGCTTTGCTGATCAAATATTTCCACTGGAATTTAGTATTTTAGGTCAATCAATGTGTGAATAATGAGTAATTGTGTAGGACAGTCCTCTATTGCTGTATAGCACATTACATCCTGCATGTCTCCAGAGAGGAGTTCACAGGCATTTCGACAGTGAGATCTGTGCTCTAGAAAATACTTCCCATGTGATGGCACTTCTTAATTATCCCTGTTTATTTCAGAGATGCACTCTGAAACTCAGCCTTCCATGCTTATCTGGAGTTGTGTGTGTAGAAAAGAAAGCTGATATGAAAGCTGATGAAGTATCCCAAGAGAAAGTTTGTGAATCATAGACATCATATTTCTGAATGAACCAGGAACTTGCAATAAATGATGCAGGTGACCAAAAGAATTTGGTGCTTATGCACCTTTTTATGCATTTTTTTAAAAAAAGGTTTCATTTTACGTGTCTTGATCTGTATATTGAATGATCCTATAGGGAAAATAATGAGCAGGTGAATACATTCAAATACACCCACGGCAGCAGCAAGAATTACATTTACTTTAGGCAGGGTTTGGCTTCAGCACTTCTTGAATTTTTATTTTGATTTATTAAATCTTATTTAAAAATTATTTTTATAAAAAGGAATGTGGAGAAAAACAGAGTCAAATTGAACGAGCCATTAGAGAAAAGAGAGCAGTGGAAGAAGAACTTGAAAAGGTAAGGCAATTGTATGTATTTTTACATCACATTTAAGATCTCTTTACAGAAGGAAAAATACATAGATTTTTTTCCTATTTTTCGTGTATTTCTCCCTTAATTTCTTATTTTATTTTTTGAGTAGATTTTCTTGATTATAATTTTCATCTCTTTACTTTAAGGTTGTTTGCATTCTATTTTTAATTTATTGTTTATTTAATCTATTTTAAAAGACCAGAAGGTCTTTTAAAGCAGCAACACCAAACTGAAAAAGAAAGTTCTTTAAAACATGTAAAAATAAGAGAGATGTTTAACATAATCCAAAAGAATGCTGGTACATATTCCAGTTAAGATGAATAGACAGAAAACAAAATAAGTGTCTGACCAGATCTTTGGAATCTTTTCTCTTTTTCAAGAGGCAGCAACAGCTTTAGAAATTCAATTTTGTTTTAAATCATGGGGAAATATGATGCAATAAGGAGTAAACTCACATGTAAGTTTACTCTTCAGATTTACAGGGAACAAAGAGGACATGAATCTGACAGTAGAAAGCTCGAGCAACTGCATCAGAAGTATTTACTTGCAGAAGCTGCCAAAGATGACCTTCAGCGGAGTCTACAGATGACACAAAATAAACTGAAACAACTGGAAATGAAGTAAGTGATGTCACAGCTGTTTACAGAAGAAGAGAAAGCAGTGGAAATTTCTTCAGACTATTTAAACTGTTCAGTGTGTATTAGGGCTTTGTCAATCCTTTTTATTCAGTAGCAGACATCAAGATACCATAATTGTGAAAGTAATGTTGATTTTATCAACTCTATCATCATGACAAAGTTCTTTGCCGATTTGTGCATAGCTCCCAGTCTATATCTTTTGTTCTCAGGTTCAAGAGTTGTTCAGTTCTTCAGTTGAAGCCAGACTTTGCTTCTCTTTTAGCTCTGAGGAAGAGAAATCTCGTTACCAGGAAGTTATCTGTAAATTGCAAAGCACTCTGGATTCAGAAAGAGAAAAGAGTGCCTTTGTCAGTGAACAAAGACTAAAACTTCAGCAAGAGAATGAACAATTGCAAAATGAAATGGATGGTTTGAGAAAACTGGCAGTAGAGGCTCAACAAAAAGCTAAAATAAAGGTATGTTTTGGTTTATTTTTTGTAATGTAAGACTAATATTTGCTTAGTAAGGCAGCAGTTCTACGAAAAAAAAGCATTAAATGTTTAAACTAAGATTGAGTTTCAGTGGTGCTTCCTGGTTGCTGCTTAAAAGTAATTTTATTGTCGCATTGTGTGTCCTCAGAATCGGTGGGGTAACTCGATCTCTGCTAATTAAATTGTATTTTGTTGTGCATTAAATTCTCCTTGATAAGAGAACTTAAGAGAAGAAGACCCCAAATGTTCTTTGCTTTAAATAAGATGAATAGATTAAATAATATTGCAGTTTCTAATCTTCATTTATTTATTGTCTCTAATGTGTCAAAAATCTTTGTCTGACGTTCTGCCCAGAGTGTTCCTCTACTTGAGTGTCCACCATGTTGTCAGGGCAGTGTATAACTAATAAATAATTTAATAGTGTGGCTGTCAAGCATTGGCTCTTATTTTCTGGACAGAGGAAATCCTTCTCTGAGCTTAGCTGCAAACAAGATTATTAACTGAAAGCTGGTTTGTTCTTTGTGAACATGTTCCATTAAATGCCTCTGAGCAGACTGCAGGTCAGATAAGGAATCAGTAGTAGCCTCAGCAAATTCATGGCAGCACTGACTTCTGGAGGGAGAAACAGTTTTCATCCTTGATGTGGTTTCTGAGCATAGAAAGTTGGTACTTTCCCCTCTGCAGTGTGAAGGTACCAAAAAAAGGGGGTCTAAGGATCTGGAGCAATGAAGACAACCTCAGCAAGCAGTTTTACAGGGTGTGAATGGGGACCGGCTCAAATCTGGCTTCCACTTTGCACTGCAAGATAAAGAAAGCTGTCAAACTGAACAGGGACTCTTGGCCAAGTCCAGAACCTTTTGCTAAAACAAAGGATCAGAATCTTGTAACAGAGAGGCAGTGGATATGAAGCATCGAAAGCATATACTAAATCTTTGCCTGTCTCATTTTTAATCAGACAGGCTTCCATTATAGTCACAGATAAGATTCACTGCTTGGTCTCATTTCCCTCTGATGTACAAAGGATTGCAGATGCAGTTAAGAAACTCCTAACACATTTAGCTAGATGAAAAAGAACAAACTTGTTTCTGTGGAGGAAACACAAGGGAGAAGAATAAAGCTTACTTACAAAAATAAGCATACACAGCTCATTATCCCTTATTGTCAGTTGTCCTATTTGCTTAAATTGGCTTTGGGAACATGTATCTCTGAGTATATAATGAGAGGTTTAATTATTGTATGTTACACGCTTTCAACAAATGTTTATAAATTTAACTCAGGCATTGTAAAACAAATTTTAAAAAAAAGGTAAAGCGTGAGAGATTTGATTGTACTGGATTTGGGGTTTTTTTTTTAGATAAGTACAATGGAGCATGAGCATGCAGTGAAAGAGCATGGCTATGAAGCTCGACTCAAGGAGATGGAAGACACCAGTCACAAGTCCACTGCTGAGCTCAGACGTCTCTTAGTAGCTCAGCAAAGAGCAACAAACCGGTGGAAAGAAGAAACAAAGAACCTCACTGAAACTGCAGAAGCCAGGATCAGCAAGCTGAAGTAAGTGCAGTTTTGTTCCCCTTCTGCAAAGTGTGGTTCAGGTACTGTTTGGTGTATCACAGTAGACCTGTGGTGAAAAACCATGAAGAGCAAACCGTCCAGACTCAAAAATGTGCTTGCAGCAAAACAAAGAATCATCAAAAAAGAACCTGTGATGTTCTCTGTGAAGTTAGCACTGAAATAAAGCTTTCACTGTTTCATTACCTTGTTGATAATGCATGAGGTTTTGTAATGACAAAAAGTAAGTGGAATATATTACTTTGGATTTTCTCTTTCAAGATTCAGCACACTCAATTTAGACAGTTTTAACTGTGGATTATAAGAACTTCTGTACTCTTCAGAAAAGCCATAACATCAGTTGTGGAGTGAGTCTCCAAATGTCTAATATAAACTGGACAAAAACCTCTTGGAATGTACATCTAATGTTCTCTTCTGAGCAGCTGCTGTTATAAATGAAGATAAAAATGGGTTGTGTGATTCTCCTAAGAAAAAATACCATTGATTCATCCATATTTCTAGGCTGATACTTGTATTTTGCAGTGCAGAATATAAGAATATTTTCAGTTTTGCAAGCTTCCCCTATGCTTTATTTCATTTCTAGGCTCAGCAAACACTGTCAGCTCAAGTATACTATTAATTTGAGGTTAAATTAGCCTGGTATTTTATAGAACTGCAGAGAAGTTTGTCCTCAAGATCTCCTCTTCAAAACTGGCTGAAAATTGGACGAGATTGACACACTGGTCAACAACAGCTGCTAAAACAGGAAGCCTGATTTCATAAGTCTGATTTATTTAAAATTAAAGTAGTTAGAAAGGAATATAACACTGCATTGTCTTTCAGTGGGTTTGAGAACAAAAATTCAGGTTGTGCAGCTCTGTTAACTCGATAAATTTGAAGCAACCTTTAATCACTTAAAGTGATGCACTCAAGTGGCACTTTGCTCAGACTGATTTTAGAAGTTGTTTTACTGTCACTTTAACATGGAAGCAAAGCTTTTCCCTCTTAAAATTGGGAAGCAGTGAATCCTACCTTTCATTTCCTTTGGGGTAGTCTTGGGGTTTTTTCATGTTTTATTATTAATGTAATGCTTTACATATTCTCAGCTTCAATCATATTTCCAGTATCCCATGCAATTTCTGTAGTTCCACTTTCTGAAGCATAACTTGGCATTTCTTGGCTGTCAGAATTCCAGTGGTGTGAATGGAATTAGAAGCCAGCTCTCTAAACAGAAGGCAGGAAAATCTACCGTGCCCCTACTCTTAACCTGGATGTCCATCTTTGCAGTGAAGTATGTGCTCATCTCTACCTTCCCTAAGTAAACAGTTACAGTTTTTTGGTTTTTTTACCTTATCTCTTCAGATACAGGCTGGCTCTATTCTCCCTTAAAACATACTGAATTTGCAAAGATTATTATTAAACAATTCTTTAAAATAAGGGAAAAGTCTCTTTCAGAAAACATCGATACTGAGGATCTTTGTGAGACACTGGAAGCTGTGCTGATTTACAGACAGTTTCACTGGTGCAGCTTCACTTTGTGTAATTAGCTGGCTCTTACTGATAATTTTTTAGCTTCTTCTGTAAATGCTGTAACTGGAGAAGAAAATTATTTTGCAATCTTTCATGCTAAGGTAAATTTTAGCTCTAAAACTCATAGTTTATTTTATGTAAATCAAAATGCAAAACCTCACAGCTGAGCGTCTAGGTTCATCACTAGATCCTGGATGTGGTTCAGCAAGTTCCAATTAAAAGGGGAAAATTGCAGACTTCCAAAATAATTAAAGCTGTCTGTGAAACAGCTGTTTTCCCTCTAAAACCTTTACTGTTCAGTGTTAAAATGTTGTTACAGAAGACCAAAAGATTTAGACCTTATTTATCCACAGCAAAATGCTGACAGAAAATAGAAGGAAGTCTGCTTTGTGAACCTGGATGAAAAATGGGTAGTAAATTTTGAAAATGTCCCTATTTATGTGACTTCAGTGGATATTTTGGTGCAAGTCTAAAAGCTAAGTCAGCTACTTTATGATATGGTTTTGTGTGTATTTATGCTTTTTCATACTGTATAAGCTAGAAATAGAAGTCTTTACAAGGCATTTGCTCTACCTGGCAAGGAAGCTGGCAATAGAAACAGGAAGGCTGTAATTTAGACTGACATCAGGAATTTGTTATTAAATCAGTGATGCAGTGATGCTCTGATATCATGGTGACAGATATTCTAACTGATCCTTATCAGTATTATCTGGAAATTTTAAAGCCAGCTTATTTTTCACCTTATATGCATTGCCACTCATCAGTGTAGTGCAGAATGCAGTTGGTATGAAAATTAGCTCCAGAATTTACATTGTAATAGTAGTTATTCAGCACAAAAGTCCTTGCTTATACTATAAATGAATAATTATCATATTTCTTTCCGTCTCTCACAATAACATTTTGAGTGCAAATACAGTGCAGCAAATCGCTTCTTACTGTGTTGGGAACTAAAATCAAGTTGCTGATTATTGAAAAAGCAGAAAAATTTTGCAGCAAATGCATTTATCAGGGAAAATTCAGTAAGAACACAAAATAACAGACTGATACTGGTATCAGATTAATTAATCTATTGTTAATTAAAAGCTCTGTTTGGAAGGTCTCTTGAGGCTAATGCAGGAAATAGTCTCACCAAGCCTTCTGGTGGGGTCCAAGAGAAAGGAGGATCCATGTAAATATGTGAGCAAATGCAGAGGACGTGTTGGTGACAATTAGCAGAATTTAATTCTTAACAAAAATACAGTTTGTAACAAGAGTCATTACTCTTGCAGCATGCCAATGTGTTTTATAGCTGAGTGTTTATAGGAAGTTACAAACTTCCTGACCAAGTCCTATCCATATGTATGGGGGAAGGGTTTCAGATTGCATTTCACCAGGAGGTTGCTGTTAGTGCAGCTCCTGTAAACACTGACTCAGTGTCCCATTTGTTAGTGTAGGTGTTTCCCATTCCTTTGTCTGAAAGTCATGATGGTTTTTCAGTTCTGTCCTCATTGCTTTCATTCTCCATGTGAAGGTGCCTAAAACATTTTGGCTTCTTTGTTAAACTTACCAGCAGCAGCTGCTAACTTTTCCACATTCTGTGCTGCTCATTTGTCATGTTCTAAGTCTTTTTTAAAGTCAGTGTTTTGTTGGTGAAGTGATATCCACCCATATGCACGAAGGAAGCATTAAATAATTCTGAGGAATGAAGCAACAACAGTGAATGTCAGGGGATTTTTGATCTGAAAAAAATGAAGAAGTAAATTTTGCAACCTGTAATGGTAAAGCATGTAATGGAAATAGCATAAGAGTCTAGTAGATCCCTGTAGATAGAAGTGTTGATAACTAAATTGATACTTCCAGGCTTCATTGGAAATGGTTCTGTGCTTTTCAGGACCTTTGGATCTTATTCAAGTTAAACATGTAACTGTTGCTGATAAAACTGAACTTGGAATTCAGAAGCAGTGTCTACTTGTAGTCTAAATTACACCATTTTCTTCATAAAAATCTATTACAGTCTTCATTTATGAGAAAAGCTTTCCTCCCTCTGAGCATCTTAAGATGCTGCATGCATCCTAAGGAGAATTTACTGGTAACAGACCTCATCTTTGCCTTGCAGAAGGGCAAGGAGCCAGTTTTGCTTCACTGTCCTTGTGCCAGTCAAGCCTGAAGGTAACTGAGGAGGTCAGTGCTCCTTGTGACACAAGTCACCATACCAAACACAAACCTTGCCCTTGGCAGCGTGGCTAACAACTCACTGCCAAGTTTATTCCCTTTATTCCCACAGCTTCTACTCTGGCAGAGTCAGGAACCAAACTGCTCTGCTGACCCCTGATTGAATCCATTTTAAGTGTACTTTGAGTTCTAATGATATGTTCTGAAGTGAACTTAAACAGCAACAATTATAAAATAGTAGTAAAATGGCATAAAGTGAGTGATCACTATAAAAAGTTGTAAAAAAACAAAATCATCTTTCACATTCTCTGCAGGGGTTTAATTGGAACACAGAAGTGTAGAAATTTTATAAAACTGTCAAACTTACTTCAAAATGTAACCTTTCATGATATGAAAAGAGCTTTTAAGTCTTGGTGAATAATTTAAGTATTTTATGTTCATTAGTTTAACTGATACTGAGTTACTAATTGATTTTTCCCCCTTTTCCTGTATATGGGGAATGTTGTCCAATAACAAATAACCAAATCGAGACTTGATGTTGAAAAAGCTGTTTTAATCTCCCGTGTCACTTCTCCACAAATGGGTGCAGAATTTGGTGAGAACTAGAAGCAATCCATGTTGCTGTTGTTGCTGACCTACAGGGCATAGAGCTTGCAGTTGTAAAGCTTTTGGCTCTCAGTGTAAATGTCCCAAAAACTTAAGGGACATTCAATTTTAAGCTGTCTTTGACAGCTGTGGTAAGAAAAATCATAATCAAGTGCTTCCAGCTTTTTATTTTTCTTGTTTTCATTTGAAGGAATTTACTTTTGAAAGAAGTGAGGAAAGAATGGGCAAGTTTGTAAAGGCTCTTGCTTTCACTGAAGCGCTGTAATCCAGAAGAATGGTTCCTCTGGCCACATCTGGGGGAAGAGACTGGCTGAGACTGCTGTTGCTACCTCACAGCATCATTGTAAAGCTCTGTAGTTCTTCAGACTTCAGCTGAGAAGAATAAATGACAGCTCATAGAAAGTGGAATCAGCAACACCAAAGGAATGTTTAGGAAATTTGTAAATTGGAAGGAAACAAACTTCAGTAAAAACAGAACAGAGGGTAGAATGGGAAGGGTTGGAGAGAGACAGTTCTGACAGCAGAATTCAGGCAAAACCAGGGTAACTCAATCTGCCAGCATCTGCTCAGATAAAATGGAAGTGACAGACTGTATGCAAGTTTTAAAAATAAGGGCAGATGATTCATTTGTTCTGTAAAGCCCACCTTTACAGGTCTGTAGATGAATGCACTAATAGAAAAGATGGTTACTCCCATCTCATTAGCATGTCAGTATTTTCTGTAGATTTTTATGTCCTTGTCTTGAAATGAGGAGTTGGGGTAAACAGAGAATTTGCAAGTAAGCAGATAAACCCTTGCCAGACTCTGCACCAGTGGCCAACACCAAGAACTTATTTTTTGTTGAACACAATTCTGGTTGGAGCAGAGAACAGAGTAAGATTGACACGGATAATCCAAGTTTTATGTTGAATCAAATGACTGAATGCCCTTCAGTGGAGTATATCTGGAGAACTGCAGACAGGGAAAAAGGTCGATCCTCTGACTTGAAAGCCTGACAGGAAATGGATGGTTCTCTCAACTTTGGCATGGATATTGCTTTGGCCTGTCAGACACGTGGATGATTGCTCAGTTTAGGTACAGTTTAGCTTGAATAGGGGTAGAAATAGGTATACACAGGCTTGTTCTTCTGCTAAACAATAAAAGCATGAAACAATTTGTAAACATCAGCTTAAATGATAAAGGAGGGTAAGTTTGCTTCCATGAAACATTACATTTGAGGAGCTTTAAAATCTGAACTCTTTAATTACTGATGTAATAAAGTGCAGTAACGATACACAGTATGAACAAACTAATAAATTAATAATCCTATTCATCTGTCTTTATTGTCTAGTAGCAAGATAAAACTTTTGGGGGGAATAAAAAACACTTGTAGCATAAACCAAATTATTTGAGTAACTATACAGAATGGCTTAATTTCCTTAATAGTCATTTGCATTATAATTGTCAGTAGTTAACAAAAGGGAATCCTTGATATATTGTTTTAATATTTAAAGACTTTGCTTAGCTTGAGCCATCTGATTGCAGCTATTTTGGGTGTCTTTGTTCCAGTTTTTCCCTCTGACACATTTCTTTGTCATAGTTAGAGTCCCTGACTCATCAGTAGGCATGTGTGGGGTTTGGAGTTCTCAGTTTTTATCTTTTCTGTGATTGAAAAGAGTCTGCCTCTGAGGAATGACCTTTTTTGGCAGCAATATATATGAAGTGTTGGCCATGAATGCTTTCTCCTTTTGCCTACATCCTGTACAGTACATGCAGTGAATTGTGTGGCATCTTGAGATTAAGAAGTTGCCTCTTTTTCTGAAACATTATTCTTGGCTGCACTTGTGTAATGTTTGGCAGCCAAAGCTGCTTATTTTAAGATGTTCATTAAAAAAAAAAAAAAAATTAACAGGATGAGAGACAGCTGCAGGTACTGGCAGTATACAAAATTCATAATTACTAAGAGTAACTGAAGCATATTATAGTATAATTCAACCAAAAAAACAGCTGGCACATGCTATATTTGTCATGAGAGCTTTGCAGAAAGTACTTGCTGCAGCTGGTGGATTTATCACCCGTCTGCTGAAATGCTAGGAGCTCACCTTTTGTTTCCTACTCACTTAGCAAAGACAATGTGCAGTGGGGGCTGATTTAATTGTCCAGCAGTTTGGGGTTATTGCTCAGTTCTAATATTGAGATCTCATAAGTTGTGTTTGGGGGAGGGTTAACACTCAGAATGAATCAACTGTCTAGCTCAATAGCCATCACATTTCCTTATGCTTACAAGGTTAAACTGTTTCTTTTTAAATATGTGTTCAGTGTGATCTCATTATAAAAATAACTTCTTGATCACAGCTGTGTATGAGCCTGTAAACTCTGTTTATGGTCTGTGCTGCAAAGCATGCTAATTCCACACCTCAGCACAAGCACAGCAGACAGGTTTCTTTTAGCAACTGAGGATTTTTAGGGCACCTAAAAATTGGTCTCCTATATTGAAAATGCCACATTTGGTGCTTAATACTAATTACAGAGGATAAATTACAAAAACAGTGTTACATACTAACATACTGTCTTCTTCCTGCAATCTTAATCCATCTTTAATTCTTTCTTTATATAAAAGTGTTCACATATGATAACAGGTATGATCTATATTTTTTATTTAAAATCTATGATTTTAACTGTTTAACATCATTGAAATATCTGCCTATGTACTTTCATTTCTATGGAAATTCAAAGTTGTTGAACTGTGTTTGTAATATCTACATGGGACTGGTGAAAGAAGTTAAGAAGGTGGGTTGAGAACAGGTGAGTGGAAACTCCTCACCAGATGTAGTGGTGACCTGATATTACAGATGCGTTGCAACCTTGTATTTCAAGTGCCATATATCAGTTTTCAAACTTCTATGAAGTACTAAGTTTAAAAGTTTATAAAATCAAATTGCCGAGTTTACAACAGTGAATTATTGTTGAGAACTGTCATCATTAAAATGGCAGAGTTTAAGATCTGAGGTTAATCTCCTCCCTTATCTCAATTTCCTCTAAAAGAATAAAGGCTTTATAGCTTCCCTTGCAGTCCTTGCAGTTTCAGCAATAGGTAGAGCATTTAAGGTGAGGTGGTAGAGACTGCTCAGAGGTTAGAGCAGCTCACTTAGGTTTGCACCTTTCTCTGGCCAAAATTACTGGAGTTGTGTCTTTAGTCATCCCTCTTCTTGTGATGGCAGGAGGCAAGGACTGTTTCCTTTGGGCACTAGCTCAGAGATTGTCTGTCATAACCCAGATGTTTTTTGTCTTCAATACTGTGTAAATTGAGAATCACTAAAACTCATTCAGTATAAAAGTAAAAAGACTGCTTTGAAGTAGGTGGTGTTTTCCTTTTCCTTATAAAGTGTCACATTGTTGTCTGTCTCACAAGTATAGAATGATTTATTTTTAGGTACTTCAAAGCACCTTTAAAAACGCCTACATTGAGGTCTGGTTATAGAACACTAATTAGAATTTTAATCTCAATATTGAACTTACTGTGCAAAATGCAGCTTATATTTATTGTATACTAGATAGCGTGCCTTCAAAATAAGATTCAATAAACAGGAAAAAAATCCCTGTGAAATGTCAAGTGCTCTTGACAAAGTCTTGCTGATTCCAACAAATACATCTTGTTCCTCTGCCATCACAGTTTTGAATGCACAGCATGAAGAAGTGCTGTGTGCTGCTTTTGAAATGGGTGTTTTAAGAGTAACCCTGTAATTAAAACCCACCATAAGCCTCACAATTCACAGAACTATCTATGAAATTACATTCCAATGACTGAAATACTACTGTTTGCTAATCAGCATCTTTTTTTCTGATTCCCAGAAGTGAGCTGCATCAACAAAAACTCCGTAGCCAGGAGCTCATTTCCCAGCTGGAAATAGCAAATGAGAAGGTAACTGAGGTAAGATAATGACTGATGTGACAGCTACTTTCAGTTACAACCTGATGTGCATACACTAAGATCTTAGCAGAAAACTATTTAGGTGAGTTATGTCACTGGTTTAGAGAAAATTAAGGATTTTTGACAGGGATAGTCAGTAGCAATTGGGAAACCTCACTGTTTCCTGCTGACTGACATGTTCCAATGGCAATAAGACAAATGAACTTTACTCTCACATTACAAAAGTGAAAGGAGGAATCATCTTTCTGTCTTTCTAAGTGACTAATCTAGCAATTCTGGACAAATTTCAGGAAATGTTTCTGAACTTACTTCTGCCTGTGAATCCCTGCAAGCCTCTAAACAGGAGCAGTCACACTGGGATTACGGATAATGTGGCATACACAGGGACACCAAGTTCTCCATATGCTTTGTGCATGCAGAATTTACATTCTGTGTCCATATATGCATCTGGCTAAAAGCTTTATCCATTGAAGATTAAAGGCAGGGTTGTTTTGGAATGTGCATTGTTCAATAATTAATGGCCACTTTAGAAAAGGCTTTCCTGTCAGCCTTATAAATCTGGGATAACATCCAGTTCTATCCAGGATAAGTCCTTCTGTCTTGTGTTTTCTGTGGTGTTATTTAGAGGAGAAAAATGATGCAAGAACAGACTTCTGTGAGTAAAGGCTGGTTAAGAAAGGCTTTTTACAGACCGTTTGAAGGGAACAGAGGCGCTCTCTAGCAGGTTTATCATCCCATTTGTATTATCTACTGTATTCCTCTTCCTTCTGAGCATAGCTAAAACATTTACATTGTCAGGTTGTGTGGATTAAATAACCTGAATTAAAATGTCAGCCTTTTTATGCATCTTGTTTCAAGATGGTGAAATGAGTAAAAATTCCTGTGGATTGATTGGAAAAGTCAGATGATGTCACATTTGAGCTGGAAATTCTCTGAGGTGTCAGCAGTTTGTCCTCAGGCTTTTATTGTAAGGGGAAAACGCTTCCACTTCTGGTGTTCCTCTTGTGTTAAGCTCTTTCTTGCTACAGAATGAGTGGGTTCAGTAAAAAAGAATTTGGCATTGTGATGAGAGATTCTGTTTCCACAGGATGAGACGCTGATGATGGAATATCGGGAATAGAAGTGATCATTCTATGAGCATTATTACCAACACGATTTTAACAAGTTTGGATTTTGGACACGTCACCTTCCGAAAGGATGTTTATATTTGACAGCTGAGGTTTGTGGGAACCAGTTTGATATGAATTAAACCTGCATGGTTCAAAATGTGTGAATGAAGGTGTACAGGCATTTCCAGCTTTAGAAATGACAAGTTAGCAAAGACAAAAAACAAAACCCTTAAATTTAACTGCAGCTCCTGTTTGCACAGAGCAGGTCTGTTGGAGTGCACTTGCTGCAGTTACCAGTGGCTGTGTGAAACAGCTGCAGCCGGTCCTGCAGTGGTAAAAGTTGTGCAGGCAGGGTAGGAAATGCTTATTTCTTTCCTTCCAGGCCACTGGAGAGCTGAAGGAGAGAGAGTGTATCCCTCTCAGTATTCAGTTTTTCCATAGTGTTTAAGCTGCACAACTTCAAGGAAATCCCATGGGGGTTTATACACTGAGTTCATTTTTTTGCCAAGAAGTTCATTACTCAGGTTGACCTCCTATTAATTAAAGATGGTATTTCTGCCTCCTGCTTTTTTTACAGTGATTTAGGAAAACCATTTGCAAATTACAGCTTGTAAGTGTGGGTGACCCCAGTGAGCTGCAGAGGGGAAATGTTTGGCTGACCTAAATTGCTCAGTTAGGACAAATGGCATTTTTTTCCCAACAGCAGTGAATAAATGGGCATAGCTGCCAAGCTGTCATAACATAAGCTGTGGTTCCTGGCTCTAAATGCTCTCTGTCATGACAAGGTCTATTCAGCTGCTGAAGATTTGTTCTGAAAGAGGAATTTGTTTTTTTTAACCTCCTGTTTGTTATGTGGACCTGTTTAGCTTTAATGCTTCTGAGATGCTGTCTTCCCATAAAAACCCAAACATGCTTATATCACATTTCAAGGGAATTAACTCGTGGCTTCAGTGCCTATAGAGGAAGAGGTCTTGCTGTTCCTGAAAACATTGGTAATTGGCTGTTCCTCACCAGGAACATCTTTCTCTCTCTGAAAGATAACAGAGATGTTGTTGATGTTGTGCAGCCCAAATGCTGCCCAGATCTTGTTGCCAGTCTTCAGAACTGCCTTGCCCTCGTGTCAGAGGTTACTGCAGAGGCCTGGCTGCTCTGTACTGACTTCAGAACTGCTGTGCCAAGCCCCTTCCTTTTTCTCTCCACCCCAAATAAAACACACACAGGCAGTGTCCCTGCTAAAGGTCTCCAGTGCTGCCAGAATGTCCCCTCTTCTGACTCTGGGTATTTATTCTCTTCTAGGCCCCAGAAGGTTCATGTGTGAATTCTGTCAGATTCAGGGTGACAATTCTCTCTATTCCTAATCTGCAGGCGGAGGGCTGCTTTCTGACTTGGGTGTTCTCACTGCATATTCCACCTTCACTGTAAAATTTTATCAAATATAGACTAGAGCTGGACTAGTAGGGAGCCCAGAAATTACACTTTTGTTGTGGTCACTTCAATGACTAAATCTTAGCTTATTCTGATATAATAGTGATTCAGTAAGAAACCTAAAAACTACAGGATAATGTTTGCACAAGGGTAAAACATCTATCCTGTAGGTGTCTTTTAAAGTGTATTCCTGCTACCTATCATCTTGTATTCTCTGGGATCTGAAATAAGACAAAAGCAGTAGTCATCCACAGAGTACATTGTAAATTCTGCTGTTCATCCCAAATTCACACTGCCTCTGCTTGTTCCCTCTCCTCCATGACACATTCAGTATGAAAGTTGTACTGTTACTTTGATCCTACAAAGAATTATTAAGAAGCTATCATCTGTTTGTGTTTCATTACAGCTCAGCTTGATATCTGCACAGAATAAAAAAGCTGTTTCCCTGAAGGATCTGGAAAATATTTAAACACATGTTTTTATCATTCACCACATTGGGAGTTAGGAGGGTTGCTGGAGAAACTTCATATTGGAGCACTACAGTCAAAAGCACAGAAAAGCTTGTAAAACTTTAAACAAATTCTGGTTTGTTCCAGTAAGAAATGGAGGGGATGAAGGTCCTGTCTCTGTATGCACAATAAAGATTGGAAGAAGACTGCAAAATGTTGTCATTCAAGTCCTTTAATGTAGCAAATGAAAAACTCTGACACAGTGCTGTGGCACATTCAGGGTTTTTTGGTTTAAAATCCACTAGCTCCAACTGTGACAAGATTGTGTACAGGGAAGGGAGTAGGTAGCTCTTGAACTGAAATTGGTCTCTGCTTTGCTCACATGCAGTCAGTATCTTTAATTTTGCTTTATGCTGCAGGTAACTTGGGAACAATTTGAAGATCCTTTATGAATTGTAATTAAACTCATTATATCATGAATGTCAGAGTTGCTCTTTTGATGGTCAGTGTTTGAGCTGCATGATGCCTCCATTGCCTTCCAGTGTAAAGAATTTGGTTCAGTTTGGTTTGATGCCCCTAAGGTACAGGTAATAATGGAAATGCTGCTATGGCTACTCAGCTCATTTCTAAGCTCTGTAATCTGCCTGCAGTTGTGCTTTTTCTTCCTAATATACTATTAATTTTATTATTATTTTACACTTCCTTGCTGTTCTGTTGATCTGCTCCCTTGGTTTGGACATATCTGGGAACATCATTCTCTTACTTCAACTTGCAAAAATGTGAAGTCATCCAGCCCCTTATGCCTTTTGAAATAGCAGGTTTCAATTCTACAGCTGCCAGCATGTGGGAATCCTCACAAACATGGGGCTTTTTTGATAGTTGAGACATGTCATAGCTATCTCATTCTACAATTAGAGCCAAAAGGCATTTTTTTCTTTCAGCATGTATTGCAAGCATCTGATAGGTCTTTAACTGTTTCTGAAGTGCTCACATCTTGGCCTTAACTGACATAATTGCTTGTCCTTCCGCTTAAATGTGAAGAGTGTAATTCTGGTTTCTAACCTCTCATTCAGCTGCTGGGTAGTGCTTGCTGGAAATATCTCATTTGGATTAATAAACCTGTGTGTCCATGGCAGTGGATCTTCACCATATTTGCATTTTAGAGGACAGAGCAGGGCTGATCCCCCTGTGGCAGCAAGACTTTGTGCTGCCTGCTGAAATCTTGGCTGCTCAGGTAGAGCCTGCAAGATGGATACACCCTCAGAAACAATTCCTGCTTGCTGCAGGGAAAGCCACTCGTTCCTACAGAGGTTGCTTTTTCTTATTGATAGATGCCTGTATCCACTGCACTCTGTAAATCTCAATTTTAGTTAAAAGATGTCGAAGATTCTCCAAAACAACCTGGGTACATTTTTCAGAAGTTCCAAGTGTCTGTTTGGGTGAGATTTTCATCAGTCAGCAGTGTGACACAGAGGCAGGCAAGTACCAGGCACCTTGTTGCCATTTGCATAATGCACAGCTGAGATGATGACAGGCCACCTGGAAGATTTTGTGTGAGCCATTAATCCCCTTCACTCCTCAAAGGCAGGCTCTGGCTGTGAAGTGAAACCTGGCTGGAAAGGGGCAGGCAGCTCCCAGTATTTGAGTATTTGATCCTGGAGGCACAGAAGGGCACCTGCATGCTTCCCTGTTAATTATGGGTATATTCATTTCACCTTGGGGTGCAGCTCCTACCCAGTGGCTGTTTGCCAGAACAGGAACTGCAGGCATGACACAAGCACCTCATGGAGAAGGGAAGGGGCAGGAGAGCAATTTGAGATGAAACAAGAAAGGAAAAGGTTTCTTTCTGTCCTGGTCTGCCTCATGGCACCACAAACAGGAATTTGGTCACATGGAGCTCATCATACACCCACCAGCTCCTTTGGTTTCCCTGGGGCATCCAGAGGAGGCTGCTTGCTCCCATGTTGGGAGATCTGGTTTTTTCAAGATGGATTGCTCAGTGTGTCCTTTCACAGCCTTGCCTTGCCTTTTCTTGCTCAGCACCAAGTCCATTCTGCATTTCTGCATCTGGAGTTCAGAGGAATCCTCATCTCCTGGAAATCCTGCTATAGAAGCAAATTTCCTCCCAGTACTGCATGACCCCAGCCAGTTCAGAATGTGAACAAACTTTCAGGCTAATTATCCCAAAGATCCAGGCATTCAAACCTCATGTTCCTTTTCCAGTGGAATGTACAGAGATCATGGACTTTGCAAGGACATCCTCTGCCTACAAATGGAAATGTTTTGAGGATGCCAAGGGGAAAACCACACAGTGTGCTGTTGATAGGATGGGCACAGCTGTCAGTAACAAGCAGTCTAAAAAACCTTAAAAATGTACAAAACCTTGGAGCTGTGGTGTGCATGGTGATGCCTGTGGAAGCTGTGATTCATGTGGTGATCCATGGAAGCTGTTCAGATCATTGCAATGAAATTTTTGTAGGAACCCAAACACAAATTACGGGGACATCTAAACCACTGCTGGCAAGGATACTGCAAAAATGTACAGCATTTATTCACATACAGACAAAAGGCACAATTCTACGGAATATTTTAACAAAAAATACAGCTGTTTCAACTAGGTCTTTAGAAATACTTCAAAAAAGGGAGAAAATAAATACAGGATTGGGCCATGTAATATAAAATAGTCATCTCTACATATACTTTTTTATTTCTGTTTCTCTTCATGCACCTTTTTTTTTTTTTATTTCAGCTGAATGGACACCAAAGCTAGGCACATAGTGAAAAATCTGTACAAGTTTTACAAATGTCATCACAATTGTCTCGAACTTCTGAAATCAAGATTTGTACACAACATGAACCCTTCATTTAGATCTGTGTGAGTTTATAACCTAACAAATGGCATTCCAGGCAACTCTACAGACGCTCAACTAGCCTACGGTTGGACAGAACACACGGATCATATCAAAGATCTCTTGGTCAGTCAGCACAAGGAAAGGTCACGCTTGGAAACAGAAATCCAGCAAACCCCAGTAAAACACGGGGGTGGGTTTGTCACTGCAGTACCTACAACACCTCCTGCTGAGGGCTGAGCACAAGGACAAAACTAACCTACAGAGCTGGTCGTACCGCAGCCTTTTTGGTTTGGGGTCAGCTCCACTGGAAACCTCACAAAGCTTTTCACCCTCAGTGCCAGGGGACAAAGCAGCTAAGGCATTCACTCTGCACAACGTTAGTGTTCATAATAGTGCAAATTAACAAGGTACCTCTGTCCAGGGGGTGTGAGGTTAAAGGTTTACTCAGAATCCAAAGTTAGGGTATTCCATCTATGGCTTGACAATTCCTGTGTGGTCATGAGCTTATTTCTTCAGGAAAATACCAGTGCCTGTCTGGAGAATGTTGCTGGATGTTGAGTAGGACTTGCTGGCTTTTACCTTTTGTCTGTCTGCTGTTTATACTTTGAACACACCCCAAGAGTGACTATGTAACCTCAGTCACCAGTGCCCTGCCTTTCACCTCTGTAAGTCATGCCAATTACTCTGACTTTTTGGGACCAGCAAGAGGATTTTGAAAGTGTATTATCCTACATAAAATTCCCCTTCCTCAAAAGGTTAAGACTTCTGAGTTTTAAAACAGGGATGCATTCTGGTGAAATATTTAATTGATAATGTTAACTTGCATAGCAAGATAGGGTGCTAAGCCTTTTTTTTGTTTTCTGATTGAATCCTCAGTCCTACTGCAGAGGATTCTGTGTTGTCAAGTGTTCCCACCTCGGGGAGCAAGGGTCAGACATTCCAAGGTGAGTGGATGCCCTAACAGCAGGCTGGGAGTGGGAAAGGGAAGGAGAAGGAGGTTCTTTATGCCTGTCTCTCTGTTAACACAATGCTGCCAAAACTTTTTCACCAGTACATACCTCTCCTACATTTACGAAAAATTCCAAAATGTACAGGCTCCTAATGCTCCACGGTGATGCGTGCGCTCCACTCGGTACAAAACGGTATCTCACAACCTGTTCATATTATTGCTTACATCTTACTCATTATTGCCACTTGCAATTATTAAAAAAGTACACAATCAGAATATGAGTTCCCTTTTCCATCAAATCTAGTCCATAATAGAATGAAATAGCTTTTTCTTTGCTTGACTGTAAAGAGCTAATCACAATGTATTGCCTTTGCATTTTATCATATTTAAAAATATATATTCATTCCATTTAAAGCAACCTTTTAGTGTCATAAGCCTGACTCTCTCAGTACATATCATTAGTGCATCTGTGGTGGCCTTTGGGAAATCCTCCTGCCTAGTGCCATAGAAAACTTCTGTCTGGCATTGTCATCACACTCCCCAAGGCAGGTGCCTGGCTATGGGTGACAGGTTATTCCATGGAGTGCTGGCACCCCCACACCTGCCCCTTGCTCAGAATTGAGCCATTTGGGAACATCCTTTGTGGCAGTCCCAATCTTTCAAGCCCTGCCCTATCCCTTCCTCCTCCTCCTCCAGTGCAACATCGTGCCTGTGCCTGGTCATCATTCACATGTAAACTCTGGAGCACAGGGAGGGTTTGAGCTGCCACCTGCGCTCAAACTGAACACAACAGAACACATTCTGCAAAGAGAGGAGAAAGCTGCCCCTGCCCAGGGACGGGGAGCATCTGTAATGGGATTCAGCAGTGCAGTGCATTGCAATATGGTCTAACAACCATCCTCCATTCAATACACACGAGTTAAATTAAGAGCTTGTGCTTTTCCAGAAGTCAGGGGAAGGGAGTAAAACTTTCAGTGCCTTTTAGCTAGAAAGGATGAACGCAGCCCGATTCCTCCTACCCACCCTAGCCCCTTTTAAAAGATTTTTGTGAATTGCGTGCATCCCAACTCCTGTTTTACTAATGATGTCACTTCTCTGCTTACTCAGGAAAGTTGCAAATAAGGGAGACTCAAACTTCTCACAGAAATGGGATGGGGAAGGGGGTGTGGATGGGGAAGAGGAGAAAAAAAGAAAAACAAAAAAAACAAAAACAAAGAGCTTAAAACAGCTTTAAGTGCGTGTAAACATATTTATACAACTCAGAAAAATATGGGCTTTCAGTTTGTCAGTCTGTAGCTCGGTCTAAGAATGCTCCTCTCTCACACCGATGGGTAAGGTAGAGTTGGCTTGTAGGCAGTGACTCTACTGACCCCGTCCCTGTGTCCAGTCAGGTCGCCAGGATGCTCCTCCGGATAATGTCCGTCCTCCTGCCGATGCTGCTGTTGGGACTGAGCCTCTGCTGCCTGCACTTCTTTTCAGCCACTTCCGTCTCCGAGTCGCTCATTTCGGCGTCGGGGACATAGCCATCGTTCTCGCTGTCAGGCTTTAACTTGCTTTTTGTCCGCTCCTTCGCTGGAACTCTGCCCACGCCCAGGTAGGGGTAGCCGGAGTTCTGGCGGCAGGCCTCCTCCAGGCTCTCCCCCTGCTGCTGCCTCTCCCCCTTCTTTGGAATTCGGAATCCGCCCCAGTTTTTCCCTGGGCTCGTGGGCGTGGTAGGCACTTTAACTACTGTCTGATTAGAGTTTACTTTGACCAGACCCCCGTTACATTTAGGCACTATATCCCTCCGAGTGCCAGGCGCTGACCTACCACCGGAGTGGTGCACAGCCCTTTTGTTTTCCAATTGCCTCTGAGAGAGTTCCGTGGGTCTCAGCAGTTTGTGGTTGTGTTTAGAAGTCTTTTCCTTCAGCTCTGCCTTCGCCACCTCGCACTGCGGGCGATTGTCTCTTCTCTTCCTGTGCTCTGGTATGACGACGCCGTTTTTCTGCTGTGCCGATACAATCCGTGTCTCAGCAAAGGTCTTGTCAAAATTTAAAAAGCTGCCTGGATCTGCGCCTCCTTCCCTCGGGCTGGGCTGCCTCAGCAGGGATCTGCTGTCATTCCCAGACTTGTCTCTTACCCTGTCTCTCTTGTGCGGTTTTTTCAAGGAGCGGGCCAGAGATGTGCCCATCTGCTTCCTGAAGAACGCAGAGTGCCACTTCAGGTCCTCGATCTTGGGGGCGTTGGGGCCCAGCGACGGGCTGTTGAACAACACCGTGTTCTCCATGGAGGCGAAGGAGGAAGGCACACCTGCATGGAAGCATAGCTCAAGTCAAGCAATTCCATAGCTGTGTAAATACCAGTTTGCAATGCACCTCTTTGAACTCTCCTCCTCGTGCCTGACATGTTCACATCAGAAATGGGCATTTGGCTGCTTGTCCTGCACTTTTAGGTCACAGCTCTGTGGCTGTCATGGTTTCACAACATCCTGCTTGTGTGGTTTTATTTTCCTCTACCTGCACCTAATCATACTTGTAGCAAAGACAAGTCCTAGCACTACTCTGTCCACTAAGACAGACACTCCTCAGAGACAGAGGCAAAAAGCAACCAGCAAGTGGATCTCACCAATGCCATCTAAAACATTGTTTTTTAGTTACTCAACAGTTAAAGGATAATCTGGCCACTGCAGTAATTTTGAAGATATTCATCTTCCTGAGGAATGAAATGAGAACAAATGAGGCCCTGTTTGTCCTTCACAGCCTGTAAGCAAACCTTGTCCCTGTGGTCTAGCATGAGGAAGGAAACACTGAGGCATACCTGAAACTCTTTCTTGTTCCAACTGCTTTGTGTAGCTGTTAAATATCTGCTCCTGAACTTTGCAAACAGATCTCTTGATTTTCTCTCTCCGCGTCACCATGTAAGTGAGGTTTCGCACCTGGAAGACAGCAAGGGGATGTGTTTTACAGGAATTGTATTCCCAGGATATTTCCCTATATGTGCTTTGAATTAATTCAGCTGGAGAACTATACACCATTTAAACGAGTTAGTAGCGTATTTAAATTTAACCACCTTCAACACCATTCTCAGAGAACAGTCTATTTAACTGACAAATCATCTGCTGAACTGACAGGCACAATTTAATTGACAGATTATTCCTTCTGATTTGGAGAACCACAACTCAGAAGTAACTTCTACAAACACCTGAGTCACACACAAAAACTAGGGAAATGTTGGAAATCCTTGAATGTATTTAGTATTAAATAATTCCCAGATGAGGGAATCACTGAGAAGTGCAGATGGATGATTCCAAGGCTCCTCTCTCAGTACAAGGTGGTGCCCTTGTGGCCCGATCTGGAGATACCTAACAAATGTGTTTGCTTTTGCAAAGGCCCTTTTTTAAAAATCCAAACTATCTTGAATGTAACAATCAGTGGGAACAGAGTAGTAAAATGTTAAAAATACTTCAAAAATCACGTATCCTGTTTCGACATCGCATTTAGAAATGGAAAGGACACGCACAGAGTAATTTGAGATCCAGGGAACATAGTTACAAACCCTAATGATTCAGCTGATCAAAGAGAAGATGACAAGAATGCTTGAGCACATGGAGCAGGAACTAAAGATCCCAGGTAACAGCTAAGATCTGGGCCATCTGAACAGCTACAAAAGGGCCATAGGCTGGAGTTGAAACTAGGAGAAAACTCAAAAGAAAAACTACAGCAATTCATTATAAGAGTAATTAGGCATCAGGATCCTTAACAAGAGATGCAGTACATCCATGAGAACCTGCTGTCCTGATTTAAAGATTAGATAATATTATGAAAGAAAGGCTCTGGTTCACCTACAGGTTACTGAGGTAGGACCTCCTGAGCCAGCTTTCATCCATGGCCTAAATGAGCCACGTGCTGTAGGGACGTGAAAAACTAATTTCAGCCTTCTTTCTGGCTCTAAGAGCTCTTAAATTATCCCCAAAAAGAAAGGAATTCAGGATCAGATGTACTTACTAAAACATCTATCTGCTCCTACTGAACTGTTCTCCAAACATTCAAAACCTAAATGAATCAAATATCATTTACCTCCCAAACCTACACAGATAGTCCAGGGAAACATCCTACACTGGTATGCCAATGAAAAACAGATCTGCTGCAAATCAAGCTAAGTTTCATCATCCTTTTCACCGGAAGAAAGGAGCATGGAAAGCCCTTAAAGGCTGAGAAGGCTTCAGCTGGGGCCATCAGAGTTAATCAGTAAAAAAGCACAAGCGAAAACACGACAGCCCAGTCGCAGGTGATTGAATGCCACACACCAAGACCTGCTGGCCCCGTGACTGACCTCTGTGTACAAAGGGCAACTGCTGTGCTCTGGAGAAATTTAGTGTTCATGGTCTTGCCTGACAGCACAGCTCTGAGCTGAGCTCAGGGTGAGCATAGCTTGGGAACTCGGCTAACTGTGGCCAGCACAGGCAGTGCCGGGGCTTACCCGCTCCAGGTCCTGCCGGAGGTGCGTGAAGAGCTGCAGCCTCCTGAACAGAACATCCTGCTCCCGTTTAGCCAGATTGTCCTCCTCATCCTTCTTTGGGGTAATCAAAGGCTTATTGAAATTGGATTTCCTCTTCAGTTTCCAGTACTGGTAAAGGAATTCCACCGGCTCCTCAGGCAGCCGCAGCACTTTGGCCACTTCCAAAGACTCGACGAACGTGTAGAACTCGTCCTCCAGCTGCTGGAGCTTCTGCTTGCGGAGGCTGACCCTGTGGGCCTCCTCCTGGTTTTGATCCATGCTGTGGAAAGGGTCCATGTGGGCAGGAAGAGAGGTGTCCTGAATCCCATTCCTGTTCTCCTGCCCTGGGCTGTCACTCGAAGTCTCAGCATCTGCTTTCTTGGTGGAGCTGTGCTTGGGACAGTACGACTTGAACTTCACCTCGTCGTTCTCTGCCAAGATGGTCTTCATCTCCAAGCCGCGGTCAAACGCGCAGGTGACGTGAAAGGCTGTTCTGCAGTTTTTCACTGAACACTAGAGAAAACAAACTACAATTAACCAAATAAATATAAAGTTACGAAGCCACACTGCCTAAAATTGTTGGAGAAGTCAGGGCTGCTTTGGAAGAAGAACCCGGTCACCACGCTCTAATTCTAAGCTGCACGCGCTTCCTTGCTCTCTTTAATTGGGGTTATGACTTAGCGCTTTCAGGCCAGGCAAGGATCAAGTGGCCCAGAGGGACTGGAGTGTTCCACCTCCCCCTCCAGCGCCACCACGCTATTCCATGCACAGAAAGCCACAAGAGGAACACTCCTACTGACACCAGAGCCACTTGTGTACAGCACTGTTACCCGAAGTAAAGCGTTCCCCTTCGGACTGTGCCGGCATGAGGGGGAAAAAAAAAAACCATTGTGGTGGCTCCAGGCCAATCTGAGGCTTTAATTAATCTTTCCCAGCACCTGGACCCATGCTATCCAAAAGGCCTCAACCAAAGGGAATTTTTCCCCTGTTATCCTAATTTTATAATGTCAAATATTAAATCACTGTCAACCATTACTTCACTGAGTACAGCCGTCACTTCACCTTGGAGAGAAGGAGAACAGGAAATTCAAATGTTGTCATTTTTCTTCCTACTCAGTGAACCCAGCCATCACAGAGTGATGGGCACTAGTTCAGCTGATTTAGCACTTCATTTCCATGATATTTAATTTCCTTTTGCAAAATGCTTTCATGCACACCACCAGCTAAAAGGTTTAAATACATAAAAATATGTCTATATAAACAAACACACATACATATGTGTTTAGACCCACTCACACCTCTGGTGAACAGGATTTAAAATGGAAAGGAGCACTGGTGCTCCTAACTAGGAAACAAAACTATGCTTAAGCCAAGCCATCGACCCTGAAAGAGCAACACAGTGCACTGGGATGTTTATACAGTGCTTTGTAAAGGAGCCAAATCTCCTCTGGGTTTTCCTGCTCAGGTTGACTCAGCAGCCAGATGGCTTATAAAGGTATGGCAGGGTTTAAACTGCAAAGGTTTCAAATGAGCAGTCTTTAATAAAAGTAACATATAAAAGGAATTAAAAAATACCAAAGCATCTTTTGCCCTTTCCTCTCCTACTAACACAAACAGGCCAGGAGCATCCCAACTGGAACACAGGGTAGTACAGAGAAGTGCTTTAGTCATAATTAGCTCTTACTGCAGTTCATGTTTTATTGGGAGAGGAGGGGAAAGCCTGTCTCACTGGGAGGAAATCTGCTGAACCTGGGGGAATACACAGTCTTTTTTTTCCCCGTTTAGTGCAGCTGCTCCCTGACCAGCCTGACACACACCTCCAGCTGCCACTTTTCCTAATTGTTGTGCACATATCAGAAGGTGGCCTGGAGAACAGACAAAAACAGCTTCAGCTACGTAACAGCAGCCAAGAGGAAGGGGATGGCTCTGCAAGGAGGGATTATGGCTGAAAATTTATATGCTGTGGACAGATTTATTTTCTCTAGTTAACACATAACTATTTCATGCATTCCTCACATGGAATTGGACTGTGACAGGTTTCACTGGAACTACTGCTGAGTTTCTGGTTTACAGCTCTTCCTGGCAGCCTCAATCAAATAACTTGGGGCAGAGGAGAAAAGGGAAATGGATATAAACTAATTTCAAAGTAGTGCAGGACTTGAGCACTTTTTGTGTCTTAATGTTGGTCTGGCCACCATGGATCCTGCAACGCCAGGCCAGCCCCAGAAGAAAGAGCTCTACTTCAACCTCCTTAGGAGACTGTAGTACCATCCCTCTCTGTCTCTGGGAGCTTCCTGAGGATTGTTTTGCTGCTGGAAGTGCTCTGAGGATGAGGAACATCACCACAACGCTAAGCTACGTCTTACTGCCTTTTTCTACACAAGCACAACCCTGCCCCAAATGGGTCACTTGTCCTTACACTCCCTCATCATTTATGCTCAAGAAAAGGAGATCAAAATCTGGACTGATGTCCCAGTGCCTCCTCTTTCAAAATTCTGAGGTTTGGTAATATGTTTTCTGTCTTTCTAGAGTTTAAAATGATTCTGAAATGGATTATTTAATATTTCTGAGTGGTTTTCCACTGCAAAGGATCTACAGGTGCCTTACAGCTAACAATGCAATATAAATTCTGGTTGAATGCATGTAAAACAACACTTCCCAGTCTAAAATGCTCTGCTGCAGATCAGGTCATTTAAGTCCATAGTAACAACCAGGAACACATTTTCCTACCTACTATAAACAGACAAAAGAAAGCACGTGGATATTTCTGTGGTGAAATTACCTGTATAGAAGCTCCAACCTTTTCATTACAAAGGCTGCACACCAGTGCCCACCTACTGCTGGGAATGTGGGAAACTTTTGTGATGGGCTCCATTTTTTCAGGGCTTCCGATGCTCACCTAAGAGAAAAATTGTCAAAGCATTGGAGTGACTATGACAGCGTTAACTGAAAAGAGAAACAATTTTATTAAAGAAGACAAATTCCTTGTGTGTGTATGCAACTTAGTATGTCCCAAAATTCCTCAGTTTACATAAGGATCTAAAGTTCTCTTTTAAGAAAACAATCAGTTTCTCCTTTTGTGAACAGACAATCCAGTTTCAAGGTGAAGGCCACCGATTTAGGATTATCATGCAGGATGAACACTTGACTATGATAACCCAAAGGAATTCTGTCAGACTCAAACGTTCAGTTTACAAAGTGAAATCGTATCTGGTGTCCTTGTTCAATGAGCTTTGCCAGCAGCAAAGGCCTCATTTTCCAAGGCTTAATTCTGATTGACAAAAGGGATTTAATTACTTTCCTTACAGGAGAAGCATCATCCCTGCCAGACTTTTTTCACCTAACCAAGAAGCTTTTATGCTCCATTTCTAAGTTGAACAACGCGTTAAGGAGGTTTATTTCCCAGAATCCCAGGAGCAGCACCCACCTCCGGAATCCAGAGAGCACAGCTGACGTGCACCCACTTGGTGCCGCTCCGGGTGGGCTTCATGGCGCCGCCCTTTTTGGGGCACAGCAGGCACTTGGGCTGGACGCCCAGCGCGCAGGTCCGGCACAGCCAGCTGCCCTCGGGCACCTTCAGGATCCCGTAGCACGCCTGCGTCCCCACGGGCAGCAGGGGCAAAGAGAACAAAGCAAACACCACGTTGTTTCTTGGCAGATTACACACACAGCCTCTCACAGCCCTCAAAGGGTTGTGAGGGAAAAGTGCAGGATGGAAACTAATTAGGAGCGCGTTTTTCAGAAGATTGCGTCTTTACGGAGCCCTCTATCCCAATCACTATCAGCTTTAACGCACTTAGGTTGCGGGTTTGATGCGATCAGAGAAACCCTACAGGTCTGGAAATACCAACTTTACTCTGTGTATTTTGTGGGATAGTCACTTGTATTTACAGCTGTCACAGGCCAAGTCCTTTATCATTAGTACAAAAGCAGCTAAGTAACACATGCCAGAAAATATGTTTCCTGCTCAGCAGACAAGTTTTTCCAAACACTGAGTGACAACAGAAACTTGTTAGAGCTGGGAAGGAAGGACAGGCTGGTGGGAAGGCACCTGCCAGAGTAAGAAGCATCCATGGAAACAGGCTAAAATTGTATCTCCTCTTTTATGTTAGGAAAACATCTGAACTAGCACAGAAAGGTGACACACAGTAGTGTTTCCTTAGCATGGCTAGTAGGTTCTCTGTTAAATTACCTGGAATGAACCCCACCTGTGTCCCTACCGTCTGCCCTTTTGGAAAAGTTTCTGTTAACACCCAAGATGCTGCTGCTGCCATACCTGGTGCACACAAATATTGCATTTGTCACAGAACACCATTTCATTGCCGTCCTCTCCGTCTGGAGACTGGCAGACGTCACAGACGACATCCTCATCGTATTCAATCCCCAGCCCTTCTTCCGTCTCGATGGCGTGGTTCATGTTATCGTAGCAGCGTTGCTCAAACTCCTCCATCACCCTTTCCATGGTGTACTCATCCAGCTCCAGCATCCCTGGAAAGCAGGAGTTGTCCATGTAGTTAAAGAAAAGAGAGACAACCATCACCACAAACAGCTCCACCTTCTTTCTTAACAGCTGACAAGACACAGCCAATCCCCACACAGACACATTTCATTCCTAGACAATCATGCCTGTTTCAGCATAAACCAGGGAAACTAAAAAAATGGCAAAGTTGTTTTATAACTGTATTAAACTAACAGAAGTGGAGTGTTCAAATCTTTCAAATTCTAAGAAAAATTTTCCTAGACTGATTCTGGCTTCCTGGTCTTGTTCTCATTTCTCCTTCAGGAACAGCACCAGCTATGGCTTTTGCTCCAATTCTGCCACCCAGATGTTAACTCTTTGATGAAAGATTTGAAAGTATTTTGAACCAAAAGTGATGGGGCACAGGGAGAAAATCAGTGACAAAATCTGCTGTGATACTTGGAGCAAATCTGCAGTTTCTAACAACAGTTGTTGATTTAACACAAGTTCCAACCCAAAAGGATGCAATCCCAACTGAGGTCTCCATCAGACCCTGCTACAACAATCAATTAATTTATTTTTAAAAATTAAAAACATAGCTATAATAAACGCAACATCAAAGCTGGGACAATAACTAAATGAAGTATCTCATCTGAAATTTTCTCATTTCCAATAGCATCCCATCAGAAAATTATTCATGACACACAGCTACAGACCCATTATGTTGTGGTATTTTATAATTCAGATTTGTTTTGAAATAGAAAGTCCTCCCTTTTCAGGTAACTCCCCCAGTTTATATCCTGGGTATGACCTTCCATCATGTAGAATATCACTTTGGTCAGTTTGGGTCACCTCTCCTGCCTATGCCCCCTCCCTTTTGCTTACCTCCTCACTGACAGAGCATGACACAAGGAAAAAAAAGCCCTTGACTTAGGATAACCACAGACCCCAAAATACCAGCGTGTTATCAACACCTCATTCTCATTACAAATCCAAAACACAGCACTTGTAACCACTACTGAGAAGAAATTAGCTCTATCCTTGCTAAAACCAGGAGAGACAGAGAGGAGATGGCAACCTCAGGATGGGTGTTTTAACAAGTAAGCTCTCCTTTTAGCTCTCCCTGTGAAAAACTGAGCCAAAAATTCCACAAAACAAAGAATAAAAAACCTTTCTAGCTCCTCCAGATCAGAAGATAAACACTCCACAAAAGTACTTCCAGCTTCCCCTACTGACAGGTAAATCCCTGCAGCAGGGATCAATGCATCCCATGCTACCCAAACTGAGCAGCTGAAAAGTAGCAAGAGGGAACAACCAAAATCCTGCTGATGAAAGGATTTTACCCTGCAACCCAGAATTGCTGCAACAGCAAAGCAGATGATGACAGGTTTTACACCAGCTTGAAACTGAATTCTATCTGCTCTCGCTTTGTAAGCGGCCCTTAGAGATGTGACTGCCTGTGCCTTTGCAAGGGTTAGAGAAAGGGAAGAGGGGCTGCAGCTCCTGTTCAGTCATTCTTTTACAGAAGCACTGTATGTTCTCAGTACCTGAAGCAGTCCTACAGGGATCAAAGAAAACACAGGGAATTCATGGCTGCAGGGATGCAGTAAGGAAGTGCTCCAGGTACAGATCAGGAAGTAGCTCACTTTTCAAATGCCCATTTGTAATATCTGTAGTAAAATCTGTAGATTTAGAGCAAACAAACCTGCCCCTCTTGTGCTGCTCACACCCCACTGTAGGAGCCCTTGTCTGGTTTTGGAAAAAGATAGACTGGATAGAAGGATACCAAACAATAAAAAAGTATATTTTCCCCCTTGAGGAAATCCAAGGGAACTTCCTGCTGCTGTTCTCCTGAAGATAACTGGACAGCTAACCTAAACTCTGGAATCGTAAACTGAAATCCTCTAAGCCCAACACTAAACCTGAGCAGAGCTAATGTGAGATCTGGAGAAAGGCCTGGATAAGAGACCAGGCCAAGACATCATCTGTTTCTTTCATGTGTTGGTTTAGAAAGGAGAAATAGAGTTAAATGGTCATTTTGAGGTTTACCAGTTCTTCAGCCGTGCCACCTATGGGCTACTGCCAGGTAAAACATGTTTGACTGAACTGCAACCCCAAGCAGGGAATGGCCACAGCACCAAAACAAAAACCAAAAGTGTTCACCAACCTGTCCAGACCTCTTCCATCTGGCACAGCATTTTCCCTCAGCCAAACAAAGTGGTAGAAGTTCTGTGCTGACTTACATCCTATTCAGTTCCACTGAAACCCTCTCCTGAAGCACTCATTTTACATAGAAAACATTCCAGTTCACCCCTCTCCCCCATCCTTTCCCACACACAACCCACCCTGCAGAAAAGCTCCCCTTGTGACAGCTCTTCCTCCTGCTTTGGAACTACAGCACACAGTCACAGTGAGACTTGGGAGCTCCCTCCAATAAATCAGTGCAGGAATTCCTTACTGTCCCATTCCCTGCACCACTCAGCTGGCACAGATTCTCTAAACCTGCCAAACAACTGTCTTGCCTTCTCTGCACTGAACACCACGAGCTGATGACAGAGATTTGTGATTAATCAAAAAATAAATAAATAGGACTGCCTGGAAAAACTACTCTCTGATGTTCCCTTTGAGAACCAAGATGGCAAACTGAGAACTTTGTGAGATGGAAAGCAGAGAAAAAAACAAAACAAAACCAGATTCTGACCAAGTCTAACAGATACAACACAGGAGTTATGAAGGTATTTATCATAGGGCTTAATCACATCAGGTCTGCTTTCCCATGGCTACCCCAACTCATATAATTATTTATCTCCTCATACCGCTACTATTTCTTCTCACTGCTGCTCTCCCTGAAATTATTCATAAGATTGCCGGCTTTAAAAAGAAAAAAAAGAAAAAAAAAGGCAACAAATAACTCATGCTTACCCATCTCTTTGAATTCTTCATTGGCAAGTTGCAGCCATGCTACATCCACATCATTGAGGTCATAGCGGCACATGCTGTCTGCCAGGGTTCGAATGTCCACGTAGCCCAGCTCCGGAGGCTCCGCGCCCGAGGAAACGATGTATTTCCTGGGACGCGTGAAGGTGACGGCTTTTGTCTCGGACACAACTCTGAAACAGACAGGCAGGCAGGCATGAGGAGTGCCAGGCTGCCAAGAGGCTCAGCTCTTGAGAATTCAAAACGCTTTACTCACTTTTAAAAGTGACTAACAACCACCAGCAGCAGCCACCTAACCATCCCGGCAATCACCTGGCACCACTGAGATGGGAAAACAGTTTCATGCACTGACATAACTGAGTGCTGGTATTGTAAGAACTTAACTGGAGTTGTCTAGAAATCCAGTTCATTGCCAGAATTCTAAATAAAATTAAATATTAGAGGACAGAGCTGTGCTTACTCTTACCTGAAACTCACCCTTGTTTAAAGCCGAAGCAGGGACGCTGTATTTACATAGCAGCTGCCATATATACACATGTTAAACTCTGGTTTAAGACTTTTTTAACTGACCACGAGGACATTCAAGGAGAAAAGAAGTATTTCCAGCTGTCTCAGTAGAGGATATTGCCCTTTCTCTTAGTTAACAGCACACACACTGAAATTGAGCTTGGATGAAACCCACTTCACAACACAACCCTGGTACTTCCACGAGCAACAGGCCATGCTGCCAAATGCCTGCCTCCTGCACTACCACTGGAGATGGTTTTTTGGGGTGCTAGTGGTACAGGGGAGGAGACTGCAACACTCTGTGTTGCCACAGGTCTCTGCTGGGAACAGCCTAAGCTCCACAAAGAGCAGGACAACCTCCATGCCCCTCTCTATTCTTCCTCATCTGAGGTCCAACATGTTAATTCCTAGCAGAAACCCTGATCTGCCACTGCTGTATTTGCACAAAGAGATCTCTGTAAATCCTCTACCTATTTCAGTCTTGTACATCCCTAAAGCTTCCCCTCTCCTAGCTTATTTCAGACAATGAGAAAAAGTGAGCAAGAGCCAAATGCTGAATTTGGAGCTTCTGAGGTGCTGTGAAAAAAAAGAATGTGAATGACCTTGCCAGCCTATCTGTTCTACCCAAACTGATTCTGATCATACTGCACAGTGTTCAAATGTTACAGACTACTGCATCTTCACAGAGAACATATTTTAAACTGGACACTGCTCTCCAAATCTTCTGTATCATAAATTCCTTCCAGAGTACCTCCCTGTGGAAATCATAACCTCTGGGTAGCACCTTGCCACAGTAGTGGCACAGAAGAAACTCTGACCTCAAACAACTCCCTTTCCTGGCTTTATTTCTGTGCTAGAAAGAAGTAAAAAAAAGGCAACCCTTACTACACACTGAAAGCCATTCAGCTGAATTGTCCATCACGTGTTTACAGTGAATCTCCACACAGCCTCGCTCCTTTCTCCTGCTCCTCTGCCCTCACCAGTCACCACCAGGCAACACCTTTTATTCACTCTTATGTTCCTTACTATGTTCCATACTATGTTCCAGCTCCCTGCTTATCTCCCTGCTCCCTGGCTTCTATCCTACACCAGCTATGATCTGTCTATTGCTTATTCCATGTACAGAACACTCCCCCTTCCCTCCCAAAGCGAGGCACACAGCAGTTCCTGCACTCCAGCAGCACCAGGGCAGGGCTCTCCGAGTGCTTTGTGAGGGAGCAAAGAGGACAATAATCAGGCATCAATAGGCTACTCTGACCAGCAGGAGCTCAGCAGCAGGACAATACAAGATAGCTCAGCAGAAAACAAGGAGTGGCGCCTGCTGTGCCAATACCTACAACTGTGACGCCTTCCTTTTCTGTCTTTTACCACCTTAAATTTGGAGCAACATCTCTACTGGCCTTTGGCAGAGAACAGCTCTCTCCTAAGTGAGTACCTGGACCTGCTACAGCCACCAAAGCACCTCCCTGACAGACACAGGGCGGTGATCCTCTGGGAGGTTTTCCCTCTGCTCAATTCCACAGGTGTCCTGTCCCTCCCACAGAAGAGCAGAGAGCAAAACTCAGATTGTCCTTGGAGCTCTGGGACCAAGGATCCTTTAGAAGGAAGGATAGGGTTTACCTGATGTGCAAGTTAGCTCCTCCTTGCACAGACCTAGTGGGGCACTCTGCAGGTTGCTGCACAGAACAAAAACAACACTAACACACTTTCCTGTGGCCCCCTTAATCCAAGGCTAAAGCTGACAGATACAGACCTAATAAGAAGCAGTCAGTGTTCCAACATGACGAATTTTTTGCTATGTAATCAAGGATTGAGCTGCTGTGGTCCTGCCAGCACTGGTGGGTCATTTGGCAATGCTTTATGGGCCAGCCTGGACTGACTCAAAGAGATCTAGAATGATTAAATGGCAAAAATCCTTGCTCTTACTTTCTCCAATCCCTAGTAAGCATAAAATGGGCTGCAGCACACTCCTGCCCTCAGAATTGCAGAGTTTAATTTGAAACAGGAAATAGTATCCAAGTGTAACAAACATGGCAAGGAAAATAAGGGCATTTTGGATAAGAGCTAGAAAATCTCACATTATTTAGTTACATGAACATCTGGACAGTTCTTAAAACAGTTGAAACGTTGTACAATCAATTTCTTAGGTTAATAAAAGAAATCACAAAAAAAAAAAAGTATGAAAACAAAATAAATGTTGTTTTCTCTAGCCCTTAAGCCTGGTTTGTCCAACTGCTCCTTGAAAAAAAAAAAAACCTATGGCTTGGAAATAAGCAGAGGGAACACCAGACAAGGGCTCTTCCAGCAATGATAAGTGAATTCAAGTCTGGCTTAAATAGAAAACAGAAGCTATTTTTAAGGTTTTGTCATCACAATCCATGCTAGTGTATTGCCAAAAACAGTTCTCTGACATTTGTATTTCACGTGTGCAGAACAGGCCTGACTCTTGACCTCTCTGACCATTCCAAAAGGTGAAGCAGGTTGTTCTTCATCTCTGAGAATCAACACCTTCTTAGCTGGGCACTGTGCAATAAAGCTCAGGAAGCCAAGGCAATGTAGACAAAAGCTGCTAGCACAAATGTGTGTGTATTTGTTCACATTCCTCCAAATTATACCTGGCTACTGGTTCTGGGATGGTCCCTGGGCTAACTGGCACCTGAACTCCCTTTTCCCACTCCTGCCTCCAGGGATCTGCCAGCACATAGTATTCATCAGGGTTCAGCTGGAAGGAGTCATGTAACTTCATGGCAGTGATCAGGTCCGTTCTGAACACCTGCAAAGAGAGTGACCAAGAGAGAAAAATAGAGACACTGACATTTGATATTGACACTCTACGATTCACAGCTTCAGGGTAACCATGGAGCACAGTGTGGAACAAGGTCACTGTACCACCAGTGCACTAGCCCAGCGCACTGCAGAACAGGGTTTAGCTTCACAGCAGGGAAAGGGGGGGCTGAAGGCAGGAATTCTGACAGGATGACTTCCACCTAACTGCACTACAGGTCCTGGCCCTCCTCCTGGCACTGGAGACTTGTTCTAAAAGGTGTTACCCACTTTCACCTCCATATCAGCTGCAATAAAAGCTGCAGGAGCTCTGGGTTGTAAAACAGCAGCACAAGGAAGATTCATTTTTTGCTCCCACGCTTTTTGTATTTTTTTTTAATTTTTTTTTTTTTTAAATTCTTGGAGCTCTGACTCATACCAAGACATTCTAGAAATTCCCTGTGGTAGAAATCAAGGCCTGACTCCACCATGACCAGCCGCAAGAGGAAATTCTAAGGAGATGACTTTGTGCAAGTACTTAAAAAAATAACCCAAAAGATTAAAAAAAATGAGACCCAAACTGGAATTCTGGTGGCAGCTCCCCGTTCAGCACAAGTATTTATTCCATCAGCTACAGACACCTCTGTGTCACAGCTCTAATTTTCCTTTGCCTTTGCAAAGGCATCCAGCTCTAAAGCCAGCAGGATGTTTGGCAACCTGTGGGCTAGCAGTCATGAACAAGCAGCCATGCTGTCTTCAACAAGACACAGAATGAAATAAAAAGGGATTCACTCCTGTGGCAGGCCTGCTGTGGCAGTGCTGTGGCAGCTTCAGCCTGTTGGCTTTGCAGAGAGCCGAGTGCTGCTACCACAGGCATCCCAGCTACAAGCCTGCACTTGCTGACGTGAGTTCCAGCCCTTCCCACCCTGCTCCCTGCAAAAGGCAAGGCCCTCCTCACCTCCACAACACTAATTTTTAACTACTCCATGCCTCATTCAAAGGGAAGGGTTATAAAGCAACCAGGTGACAGAAAATAAGCACCACCAGGACAAGAAGATGACAGGTAGAGCTCCCTGCAGACTTCTCAGCCCATGGTGGTCCGAACCAACACCCACAGAGCCCCACGCTGCAGCTACAGAAGACTCTGGATTTTCAGGGCAGTGCTCCTAGAGTCCCTTATGAGGCTGCTAAGGGGGCAAAGTGACCCATCCTCCCAGCCCCAAAAGCAAGGGTCATGCTGTTAGCTCAGCCCCTGCCTGGTGCTGCTTGTGCTTGCAGAACCAGATGTACACAGAGAGCTACCCAGGCAGCCACTTCTGTCATCCACTACTCACACACCTGGAAACCCCAGGGAAGGATTTCAGTGTATCTGATGGCTAATTACACTTCTGAGAATATTTTCAAGTGTGATTTGCCATGCCACACTGTGCATCTTGAAACCTCTCCTCCCTCGCAACACACACATACTGTCCCACTTCTGTCTAAGTATGTTTCTGTTTCTACTCTGGTTTTGTCATTAAAATAAAATCATGACATTTTTCTTAACACTTGTCTTGACATGTTCAGAAAAACTGCCAACATTAAAAAGTAAAGAAAAAGATTGCCTTATGAAGAATGGGGTGAATGCTGGTAATGAAATATAATGAAATGTTTAAAACAATTCAATTACAAGTCCTGTGAGGCTTCAATCAAGAAATGAAAAGTAAGCCACAAAGTAAATGGGCTCACAAAACAAACAATCACAGCTGGCCAGGGGATTCTGCACTTTTAAGAGACTTGACTTAAAGCAATCGAAAGTCAAATTAAAAGAAGACTAAAAATATAAAATGGGACACAAACCTTGTTCAATCTCAGAGCCAAAATAACTCAGGCCCTTAGATAAATTTGTCACAAAACTCCCTCAGAAGCAAAGCTAATGCAGCACCTGACAGGCAAGAAACTCTTTCCCAGGCCAGTGGCCCCATGACACCATTCTTTCTGCTCTAGCTGCTGATGCAACCAGAGCGCCTGGAGGAAAGCAGAGCTTAGAGAAGCGCTGGCTCTCAGAAGCACTGAACACTTCAAAGCTAAAGGGTGAAACCCTGGCCACGCTGAAGTCAGTGGGAATTCTGCCACCGACTTCAGCGAGCCCAGGATTTCACCCGGGGAGTTTCTGAGTGTCACTTTCCTGCCAGAGCGCTTCTGCTGCTGCGGCGCGCGGGGGCAACGCAGCGGGAGAAAGGCTATGGAGCAGAGCTAAAGGGGAAGCACAAGTTCATCCAGACTGAGGAAACATGAGAGAACAGCACAAGACTGCAAAGATTCTGGCAGCAAAAGCAAGGTAAGGGAGAGAAGAAAACAGAAGCACACAAAAAAAAAACAACAGCAAGACTCATAATTATCTGAGATAATTTCTTGATAGCCTTTCACGAGGTAGTTCTCAAAAGCAGGTATAAGAGGCTACTTCTAAGGGATGCACAAAAGGTAAGTAAGGAAAACAAGCCCATTGCTAACAAGAATAAATTTACAAGGGATCTCCACATTCACTAAAAAAAAAAATGTCTTTAATAGCCAACAATCAAAGGAGTTTGGAAACCACCAGTACTAGCCACAGTTCACACTGAACAATGAATGGGATTCTCCTTGTGAAAACTCTTCTCTGAGGCTTAGGAACACTGTCATTAGGGGGATTAACAGAGCAGTTTTTCCTCAACACCACTCACTAATGTGTAAGGAATACTTGCACTGGGCAAGTACAAGAAATGAGAAATACCATCTCCCAGAGCTAATCCTTTCTTTGCAGCTTCTACAAAGCCTGCAGTGTAGTATTTTGCCTGAAGACAGGAAGATTCAGCAAGAACATTTCCAAAGAAATGGATCACATTTTGTGTGTTACTAATAGCTGATCCAACCTGGAAAGTTCAAAGATTTTTATCTCCCCTGATATTATTTCTTCAAAGCAGTAGACGAGACAGAACTGTCAGGAAGCAGATTTCTAGTTTGACAAGCACTTTAGCAAAGATCACACACACCAAGCCCCAGTACAAACTATGAAATAAATGCAGCTAATGTAAATTTCCACTGTTCACAAATCAAGCTGCAAATAAACTCTGATGCCTAAAATAGCACAAGAAAGACTCTGCAGCTATGCTGAATGGGTGTCAGACTACAACAAAATTCACAGAGAGAAACTGGTGGTGGCAGTAGCTGTGCCAACAGCTGAACTCTCTAATCTTCAGGGCAGGGGGAGGGGAAGAAGGGGTGAGAGAGGGGAGGTATGTGCCAGCCAAAATGTAGCACAAAAAAACAAAATAAAAGACCAAACCAAACAAACAAACAAACACCATAAAAAAATTGATCCATTACCAGAAAACACGTATGTATATATTGTGTGTACGGGTACTTTGAGAGATGTGACAAAATACAAAGTCAAATTCCAGAAATACCTCAGAAGGTTTCCGGTCTTCGTCTCTGGAACATGAAGTCCTACGACGTTGAGATCTGGAATGCTGAGACCAGGTAGACAGACCTAGGATACAGAAATGATAACTTGCAGGCTTCTGTGATAAACCTCCAGAAAGCTCTTCCAGAATGAACCAGAAAATAAAAGCCACTCAAATCTAAATTTCTGTGATCACTCTCCTGGGTCTGTTTTGTTTCTCATTTCCTAACTGAGCAAGTGTGCCTGTACTGGCTGCACTGCACTTACCTGCCTTCCACCCAGCATTTGAAAAAAGCCACTTCATAACATCCTTGCCCCTGAGCATCAATAAATGACTTCCTGCAGATTAATAACTGACCAGGAGCTCTGCCAATAGCCTGGGATGTACCCTTTGAAGTTAATGTCCTAGATAACTACACTGGTTACCTGATTTCTGCTGGCGTAAGCCTCTGCAAAATGAAGCACGCTGCCACATACACACAGCAGAGCCCACGGAACAAGCTGTTGTTTCTTCTCCCAAGCAAATCTCCCAGTGTGGTTGTACGATTTTTGTCTGCATAATTATTCACTACATTCCAAACAAATTGTATCTTTTTGCCTTGAAACCCTTTGACAGACTCTCTGTCAGCTTTCAGAAATATTGTAACAGGAGGAAAGGAAAAAGAGAAAGAATCTGCACTCCTTTGACAAGATAGTGCTTTGACACCGGAATATATTATACCTGTGCAAATCAACTAATTTCAACACAGTAAGATTTACAGGTACAGCAGGTATTTTCTACTGCCAACTACACAGCACTAATGAAAAAAAAGCCAATAAATCTTTTCACTGTCTGTGCACAAACATGGTAGGAGTAAAAAGGGTAAGGCTACAGTCTGTAAGAGCAGCACTGCCTCACACCAGAAACCTCTCGAGGATCAGAAAGCCCTGCTCAAAAGGATGGGATAACCTCTCTATTAAAAATAAAAAAATAATTTTAGAAGTGAAGTAATTGTGCAAGGCTTTCATTGGAAAGATATGACAGAACTCATTATGTTTTAGTTATGTTTGTCTTCTCTTTTCAGTTAGTGATACATTAAGGAACCTGCCCCAATAAAACCTCTCTGGAACACAGCAATGAATAACACAGACATTACACAGAATATGCATAATGGTCAAAACTGAAGCAGCATTCACAGCAAATAGCTAAAAATCTTATGTCTGTAAGAATAAAAACCTTATTCTCTGTAAGAATATAGAGAGGATCATTTTAAGCAAATGTTAGTGTTCTAATATAAAAGATGGTGAAGTTATCAGCACTCTTCCTTTTTTCTATGAAGGAAAAAAAAAGAAAAAGAAAAATAGTGACTGACTGCCATTTATTAATCTGTGAGAAAAGTAGACTCTCAAGATCATTTAACTACCATTCCATTTAAATGTTACCTTAAAAACTGAAGAAGAAACACAAGCAGGAGTATGAACTTCTTGTGAGGATCCTATCAGACCATCCCCAAACCCTACTTAAGGTCAGAAGGGAATAAGTAAAATCCCTCACAAAACCTGTGAGATATAGAGCTAAAATGCATGACAAAAAATCCAGATTTATTTCCTGTAATGCAACAATGTAAACATTAACATTTTAACACTCAGACAGAGTCAACAGCCTCCCTAGAAGATACAGACCACATACATACCCACACAGATTAGTATTCAGTTCTCATGGGTTCTGATATTTTCCATTGGCAAGACATTAATATCTGACCAACTAGCTGCCACTGAGGCGTTCAGCGAGTTAAACCACTGCACCAGACAGTCAGCACCTGGAAATTTCCAATTCATTTGTGGATCAGAGCGGTTTTGTACACTGTTGGACCTGGGAGAGAGAGTCTGCATGCAAGAGAAAGAATTAAGAGCAACAAGCTGTATTGGCAAGGTGTGTGTGATTCAAGTTTCTGTGAGAGATGAGCTCGTGAGTCTGGAGGCTTGAACACAGTTGTTCCCAAGTAAGGCAAGCATCTGGCAAAATTAGTGTAGTGGCTAATGTAGTGTGATGTACTTCTGGGTCTTTAACAGTGTCCTTTAATTCAGCTCTGATGACAACTTGTCATAAATTGAATTAAAAAAAGAGTATGAGCAGCTTTTTCCAGGTCCCTCCCACACCACAAAGAAGCTATAAAGGTGAGGAGTAAGACAATCCTTGCCATATCACCCATCTCCATTTCCTCACTGCGTCATCTTACACATCAGAACGAGTGTCTTAAATACACACTTCTATGTCCATGTACACAAGGGTTTAATGGATTAATTAACTGCTCCACGTTTCACGAAAGGCTAACTCTTATCATCAAAACTACAGGAGCTTCACTTTAAATGGTTTTTAAAGTGCTGTATGAAAGCACACTACGTAAAATTTCCACGTGTAAGAGACAAATCAAACACAGCCAGCCTCCCTCAGGATCTGTTACAATGAGAGTTTTTTCCACGCCAACTACCTCGCTACACTGAATAAGGAAAGAAAGTTTCCCAGGTAGTTCTGCACCTCCCCTGCACACAAAACTTGTGCAGGCACAGTGGAAACACTGTTGCTGAAAAGGCTGAGGGATTTTTCTGAGCAGCATAAACTACAAGATACTAGGAGAAAACGGTGGAAGAATTCCTCATGGGACTGAGGTTTTACTACACACTGCAGCTAACAGATGACCTTTGGCAAGGGCTTCACGTCAATAGGGAAAACATTTACTCACTGAATAAACAAAGCCAGACTATAAGCCTTGAATTCATAGATTCAAACCAGCACCACTGCTTAGACAAGAACGTAAGAAACTGAAGGAGCCAGCCAAATGACAGCAAAATATCCAGCCCACAACAGGACAGAATCCAGCTACCTTTGAAATCCCAAACGAGAGTTTCAACTCTGCTTCCATCAAAGCCAATGGCAAAATGTCACTGTCCTCACCAGTGCCAAGCCCAAGTCACGGAATTTCCCAGAGCTGCTCTCATTAATAAGCCATCCACCCACTCTGCCTACACCAATAAAAGTGCAAGAGGAAAATCAGAGGTGTAATTTGTCTATTAAGCATCCTTTCCATATTTTCATACCTAAGCCAGAAAGGGACCTCCCTGAAAGCAGAAATTCACAGCCCATTACACCTACTTCAGTGGTTAATGATCTGATTTGTATATCTGAATGCATGAAGAAAGCACCATCCCTGGATTATACAGAAGGCAGAATCTACTCTGGTCAAAACAAAACACAGGATTCAAAACAGCCCTTCTGCAGCGTAATAAGCGCATGAACCTAGTTCAGCTATTTCAGAAAGATTCCAGACACTTCACAAAAATCTTTCATTAAATATCCAAAATCACTGTGTTCATCAAGTTTTCTGAGTACTAGCCCTAGTGCCAAACTGGATTAGGATCACCAAGACTAGAAAAACAACTAAAGATTGAGACAAGAGTTAAATTTAGTTATGGTAAAATAAAATTAAAATTTTAAAAAATCGTCAGGCAAGTCTGAATCACTGGGATTTGGAAGATATAAAAGTTCTTAAGATACCGTTGTACACCTCATGGGAAGAATGAGTTTCACAGCAGATGGAAAAACAGTGAGATGTTAAGAGAGCCCATGCTACCATAAGCCATGTGAGAAACAGTAAATATGAAAAATATACAACTCCAAGGCATGAAGCCAAATAAACACATCTAAAACATGCACTCTCACCATCATTAGACATCAGAGATAAAAGGTATCTTATTAAGTGCTGCATGATTATGGCAAGTCTAGGATCAACACAGTAGCCTACTGAGCATCATCACTCTGGGAGAGAGACCAAAATAATTTGGATTCTTTTACAGTTCAAGTTCTTTCAGATGAACAAGGTGTTTGTGTGTTTTAACAAACAAACATCACTGCGAACAACAAGAGAGGGATCATACTCTTATCACATGCTCTTAGATTTCCTTTTGCATTTATCCACTTACAGACAAAAAGCAAAAAGAAATCCCAAACCACGAAAAAAGTGAAATCCTCAGCAAGGGAGGCAGAGCTCTAACGCACCACTGGTGCTGCAAAGGACTTCTCAGATTCAAATAGGAATTTTTTCTGTTCCCCAAGACTGCTATGAACACTTCACACTGTAAATACAGTGTTCTTATAATACCGCCACAGGGTGTATGTAGCACACACGCCTCCTGATAATAAAAGAAAGCAATCAAGGAGTGTGCATTCTTTTTCCCCACTTGTGAAGAACACACGCTTCCCAAAAGGAAAAACTTAATCAATTTTAACTGCATCATTTTATTAAATGATCTGTCAAGAATACGTTTTCATTCCAAAAAAAAAATCCAATCAAAACAGAAAATTGCTTGGAACCAATAAAACAATTCAAACCCCAAGGGAATTCTACCCCACAACTAATACACTGCTCAGCATGAGCAGAGAAGTCTCAGCTATTAGGTATCATGCACAAGGCTGCTGTAAAGCCACCTGTAAGGCACCCAGCTGTGTCCCTGGAGAACTACCTGCTGCTACAGCCTCTGAACAGTTCAAAGCCTCAGATCACTGCAAGCACTTCTCCCGCCGTAAATACATTCCTGCTACCCCGCTACAGCAGGCAGCACAACAGAGCAAAGCAGCCCTGACACAGATCCATGTCTGGCTGTCACTTCTGCTTAACACCAGCCTTTCCAGATGCCCGTGCTGCTCCCTCTGAGACCAGCCAGGTGCCGCTGCCAGTGCTGTCAGAATGGTCTGCAGCCCGAGGAGAACACAGAGGGGCTCAGTCTCCCCATTTAAGGCCTGGCCCACAACTCCTTAAAGCAGGGGCTCCATGCCACTTAGAAACATCTCCATGCTTGGCTCAAATTCCAGCACAAAGCAAGCAGAAGCAAACTATTCTGTGGGCAGTTTCCATTATGTCAGGTGCAGAAAGAGCTGGCTGGGCAGAAGTCTTCAGGCCTTATCACAGAGAAAGCAGCGTGCAAGCAAACACAAAGTAAGACACCATTTCACGTAGCCAAATCTCCTTTCTCACTTTTCTGTTGCTGGAGGGTTTGCCCATCTATCTTCCTTATCTTTATAGCATATTAGTACACAATAATCTCATTCA